TTCCATCACCTCCGATTATTCAACTACTTCATCCACCATGTATATAACCGGCTTGGATGCCAGCATGCTGAGCCCTGAGGTGCAGTCAGTGACAGAAAGCAAGGGAGAAGATGCTGATGACGAAAGAAGCGAATTGATCAGTGAAGGCCGTCCGATGGAGACAGACAGCGAAAGTGACTTCCCTGTCTTTGCCACCAGTGCTGCTGCTGACAGGTTGTCCAAGGGGAAGGTGCCAGAAGTGGTAAAGACCAGTCGGAGGAACTCTGAAGAAAGCGAAGTAAGTTGTACTGAGGGGAGTTCAACACCAAAGTTAGAGAGTCGCAGACTTTTTAGCTCACACAAGCTCATTGAATGTGACACACTGTCTAGGAGGAAGTCTGCACGGCACAAAACAGACAGCGAGGGGTCAGGCGATGCGAAGAGTGAGAAGGACTTGCCTACTGTGACCAAAATGTTTGACATAATGAAAAAAGGAAGATCAACGAGCAGTTTAGCTACGTCGGCCAGAAGCGAGACTGACAAACAGGAACCTACCTGGAGACTCAAAATTACAGATAGGTTAAAGCTGCGGCTCAAGTCGTCTGCAGATGACATGTTCGGAGTTGGGAATCAAAAAACTAATTCTGCAGAGACCGCAAAGAGAAAAAACATCAGGCGAAGGCATACGCTTGGAGGACAGAGGGATTTTGCTGAAATAAGTGTCCTGAATGCTTGGAAAGCTCAAGAGGCAAGTCAGAGCAGAGAAAGGGAATCTGAGCTTTCAGCTGTGAATCGGTTGAAGCCAAAATGTCCAGCCCAGGACCTCTCAATCTCAGACTGGCTTGCACGAGAACGTTTACGCACTAGCACAACTGACCTTAATACGGGTGAAACTGGAAAGCCCAGGCTCGAGAACACTAGCTTAGCAGATGTATCAAAGGTAGATCTGCCATTATCTGCAGAGATGCAAGCAGATGAAGGCAGCTCCTCCAGCAGCTTGACTTCGATTAACAGAACACCACCTTTGGGACCATTTCAGCCACCAGACCAGGTAAATGGTGAAAGTTATCAGAATATGAACAAAAACAACTTCAGCCCAGCAGTTGACGCCCATCCTCATAAACTGTCTGGGACCCAAGTGGTTAGATCTCGATTCTACCAGTATCTTTGAAATGGGGAGATATGTCCACGACAGCAATTCATTAACTTAATGTTACGCTTCCCAGTAACTGTGTGTATGTGTGTGTGTGTACATATATATATATATTTTCCTGTACTGTTGTTGTTATGCAGCCTTCATTTGGGCTGGTTTCATCGATATGCTCTGTGGAACGTCTTCACGGTGCATTACCACAGCCAGAAGAACACTAAAGTCAAAGTGTATATATATACATATATATATATTTTAAGAAAAAGTATATTTGATGGCTGCATACAAATGTTGAACAAAGCATCTGATGCAACGCGCTGTGTAGTGTATACATGGTTTTCTGACTGAGAGTTGGCCTGGCATTAGTATGCAGAAAAATCGTTCTTTTGGTTTAGTCACTAACAAGTGCCTCATCATAAATTCATTTGGTTTGTTAGGGTGCCATATTGTTAAATTAGAGAAACTTATTACAAACAAATGAATGCGTTTTACTGTTAACGAGTTTCATTACATTTTACAAATGTTAACACAGGTGGCTACAGAGCTTCCATTCCTTAGGCATTCCAGTAAATATTGGAGTTTTATATTTCCAATTTTAATACAGATTTTGAGTTTTATGTGACTTGAATTTTTAATCTTTCTGTAAAATAAGTAACTTAAATGTACATAATACATGTGTATCTTTTCTTCAGATACCAGATTTGATATAAATGTTGTAACATAGGCGTGTAGATAGTGGATACTGGATGGAACTGGTTTCTTTTATTGAGAATATAATTCTGCATGAAGACCTAATGAATCCAAACCTGTATCATGCCTGTGTGCACACCCACTTAAACACTGGAAATAAAATTGTTTTGGTGACTCTTTGCGTGACACGAATTTATTCTTGTGCTGGGTTTTAAAATGCTGTGTTCACAAGCTGCCATGTGAGAGGGAGGTTCGGCTGCTTCTACAGCTTCATTTTGATGCATAATCTGATTTCCATGGGATGTAGCAAGTCATTTTATGTTTAATTTGCTGTTTTTGAAGCACGCAAGAAATGTGTGCATAATCCTCCCCAGGTCCTAAGAAGTGAATACCAGTATCTGCTGGTCAAAACAATACTTAAGGCTTTGGGACTTCCCTATAGTTACAAATTTGAAGGCAGATTCATACCCTAAAAACTCTTGTGTGTGTGATCTCTCTACCGGTTACATTTTTTGTATTTTCTTGTATAACTACACAAAAACAACACAGCTTTTCATCACGTTGGCTATTCCCCTCTTATACCAGCTCCTGTTGTTTGCTCAGCAGAGGATTAAACCCTTATTGAGGATAAATAGGCTATGGACATCAGCATAGAAAAACTTCTGCTTGTCCCAGTATTGAGAAGGAATGATAGTAACCAGGATGTGTAGGCAGATGTGGTTTTCCATCAACTTCTCTTTCCAGAGTGACTGCAGATAGTCCCATGCTTTGATCTGCTGTGTTACTGTTCCTTGCAATAAAGCATTATGCAAATTGTTTGTGAAGTAAAAGCAGCAGACAGAACAGCTGAAGACCTATGAAAGTTCTCACTGTATCATTGTGTTTGGTCCCATGCAAGGCATTGCAGGTGTGTTTTGTGAAATGCACAGGCAAGAGTTGATGGTGATTTCCATTTCAGTCCTAACAGTAAAGTGTATTTGAACATGGGATTTAAAATGTGGTATTGTGCTGCTTTTAAAACACTGTTCTTCAGTAGTAATTTTAATTATCCCAGAGTTGTGTTTTGTCCTGTAACTAGCCTCAGAAGCCTATTAGAGTGTAGAGCATCAGGGTGAAGCTGCAGGGGGATTCCTGGAGAAGTGAGGTACTTACAGAAATGCATCAGGGGTGCTAGGAGTCTGCAGTCTCGTCCTGATCCGACAGCCACTTTGATGGATTAGTTTAATGTTCATTTTTGTTACAACTAATGATTTTAATGACTTGACTAATGATTTTAACTCCCAAGTCTAGATGTATGGCCGCCAGCCATAAGAACACAGGAGTTGTATTGTGCTGCCTGGAATAGAACACAAGAACTCCTGAAAGTGAAGATCTTAAAGAAACGAGGATGGCACCGGCTGACTGCACCAGGATACACATCTGAAGGCTTGCAGCCTCCTGCCTCCTGCTGCTGTGTGGAAGCTGCAGAGCAGCTGGACCCAGGGTAGGACCCCTGACCATCTGCAGGTGCCTGGACAAGTCAGGAACTTTAGTGGGGCTCTAAGAAAGGGGTTACAGTGGGTTGGGGCACTGCTCCCTGCCCTTTCCATTTAAATGGGGTTGGAGGAGACAACCTGGCAGGCAGAGCAGGAGTGAGGGAGCCCTGGGGTGATGACAGAGGTCACCTAAAGGAGCTCGTGGAACTGTGCTCTGCGAGCACGGCAAGCTAGGGAGACGCTGCAGCTTTTCTGCTCCTTGAAGACTGACAAAATCTGGGACCACCTGAAATTCCAAGCAGCGTGGTGGTGGAGATGGCGTTTTTAGGAGCCATTACTATGCCTTGTGCTTACAGCAGTCACTTTATAAGATGAATTTCTCGTTTTTCAGTTTGTGACCTTTGTGCCCTCCTCCTCCTCCCCCCCTTAAAAAACAAAACAAAAATGTGTAATCATCCTAAAATAATCTAAAATAATCTGAAGAGTGCTTGGAGCTGTGGAGCTGCAAGTCATTAGAAATGGGTCCAAGCTGAGACCAGAGGGGGAAATAATTAAAGCATTGGATTGTGTTGGTAGTGACAGCATTTGGGTTTTTAAACAATTCCAACCAGGCTTCTGTTGCAGTCGTTGCTGCCCGATGGCTCTCGTCCCTACCTGAGGCTGCTGTCACCTCCAAAAGGCACCAGCACTGCTCCGTGGTCCCAACAGCAGTGCCTGTGGTGGTGAGATCTGTGCAGAATGAGCTGGGGGCTGCCTTTCCTGACTGCCCCCAGCACAAGGTGAGGCACCGAGGGGCACGACACAGATGCTGCTGGAGCATGAGCACGGTGCAGCGTAGCAGAGGCCAGAAGCAGCTGTTGTGTGTGCTCCTTGGTGGCAATAACAGCGTGCAGCACGGCCATACCCTCAACTGCATGCGCCGTGAGTGTGTGGGGACCTGTAGTCATTCACACAACTGCTTTCAGCGTCTAGTTCAGACACAGAGAAGATGCTGCTGTGGCCCCCAGGCCCAAAGAGGGTGAGAGCAGCAGGAGTTGGGGCAATCAACGCCAGGACTCCATTGTTCACAGGGAGTTGCCAAGGTTCAGGTATCAGCAAGTTCAGATTTTTTGGTAAGTATTGCTCCCTGGGGCACATCAGACCAGCAGCTTCTCTGTAGTGGCTGTTAGGGAAGAGGCTGAAATCTGGCATTGCATTCAGAGTGCTCCAGATTGTGCCACACACTTTTGGGTTCAGCTCAGCCACCCAGCTTGTGCTGGGCTCTCAGCCTGCTGCTGTGAGTTAAGGTTTACATTCTTTAATTACCCCCACTGCAAGGGGTAATTCTTTAATTACCCCACCCTCCAAGGGATCAGCCTGGAGATGAGTTTCAAGAAAATTCCTTCTCTCCCCTCAGAGAGAAGCCAGAATTAGGTCGGTGAGGTGATGGATACCTCATTCAGTTGGTTCAAAGGCTCAGGTACGCTTTTTATTTTCTTTTTTTTTTTTTTTCTTTTCTTGCTCCTAACTTGGCATTCCAGCAATTAGCTGTTGCCCAGGTAAGTTTGAAACAGTTTTGAAATGACTACTAATGTCTGGCATCAATCTGGGGAAAATAAAGTCAGTCTTTTTTCCTGATAGTTTCTCTTATGTTTGTTTTTTTTTTTTTTTTTCTTAAACATAGCTACTTGAGACCACTTAAAAGTTATTAGTGACAAAATACAAAATATAAGCATGCAGCCCTTTATTTTTTAAAGATCTTTGCTTATCATAGTTCTGTATATTACATTATGGTGTTATACAAATAAATTTATTTACAAAACCATGAGCTATGCAAGCTTGTTGCTTTTTTTTTTTTTTCTTCTATTTGACTGATACCCATCTTTCTCACCCCTTCCCCATATATATTTTGAAAGCATGCATAAAAATTAACTTTGGTGTGGTAAAACTACTCTATGTGCCCAGCCACATACAGTATTTATTTATTTATATATATATAGATATGTACAAAAGTTTGCCAGTATACAGAACAGTACAGAAGTGTACATTTTAAAATCCACAATGCAATACATTAATGGGTTACCAGGTCTCAGTAAAATAAAACTGAAGGAAAAGGGTGGAGTTAGCTAAGGAAAACAAACAAAACAAAACAAAACAAAACAAAACAAAACACAAACCAAACCAAACTAATCAGCAACTACCTCTATATGTGTAAAACAATTTATTTTTTTCTTGGCTTGGCAAATTCTTAAATATAATCTGAGTGGCAGTGCAATAGGTTGAGTTGCCTCGTACACACTAGGAGCAGTCTTGTTCTGTTTCTGGTGTAGAGGTTTACTGTCCAGCATACTACTTTCAAATGTACATTACAATAGTATCAAAATGTTTTGGCAAAAAGATCTCGAAAGGAACCATGACATTTGTTGACAAAAATAGAAATCTGTAACAAAGCTAAATAACACCAAAATAAAAGAAAAAAATATTTTAGTTTGTTTTACAGTTGTGTAGAATCACACTTTAGTATATCTCTGTTCACGTCTAGTCCCCATAATGAAAAATAGCTTTATACAAAACAACTTACTAAAGTTTTCACCATACACTTCCCCATGCTCAGTACACCGCTGTGCACACGCACTCGAGCTCACTCACACACCTTCACACTTGATTTTTTTTTTTGTCAGAGGTGCTGCCTATAGGAAGAAAACGCTCCGTTATCGGTACAACAGCAACAAAAGGTTTACAAAAAAAAGCTCCACGCTACTCTAGTGTAGTAACTCAGTATTTAGCACGTGATTAGTATTAAGCCTCCAGCAGTACAGCAATAAAATAAAATAAAATAAAACAAAACTGGTTACGCTCCCTGGTTAAGATATTGGCTGCAGCTCTTTGCCCAAAAAAGCCTCGGTGGACGTGCGTGGTGCGTAGCCTTTAGGCTGGCTCCTTGGCCGGGGTGGACTTGCTGGCACTGCCGTTCTGCGCCTTGTAGCTGGTGAAGCTAGGCGTGTGGATTGTCCTGATGCTCTTCACGCCCTGGGTCAGGGAGCTGGGGGAGGTGGAGGAGGGAGGGGAGGTGGAGGAGGAAGGCGGGGGCGGCCGGCCGTTTTGGGTCTGCAGCGAGAAGGAGAGCTGGTGGCCTTTCCCTGCGTGAGCCGGGCTCTGGAGCTTGGAGGAGCCGTTAGCCACAGAGGGGATGAGGGAGGTGGAGTACGACACGCGCCCTGCCTGGGGGGCGAGGAGGGTGGCGGAGGGCAGGGATGATTTAGCGGGGGGGTTGGGGGGGTTAGGGCCGTCACCGCTAGGAGCAGGGGCAGAGCTGTTTTTCCCAGAAGCGGGAGAAAAGGCGGGGATCTTAGAAGCAGGGAGGGTGGGGGAAGTAGCCTTATAGTCCCCACCAGCTTTCTTAGCACTTCCATTAGCCTGCAAATAAAGACGGCAGGAGACAGTTTGTCAGAAAGCCAGTAACACGATAAATCAACAGGACCTGGGAAAATAGCCCTACAGAGAGCAAGAACTAACAGTTCGAGGCCTGAGCTACGTCTGGCAGCAGTGGACTGGACCTGGTAGAAACCCCAAAGTGCACAAGGAAGGATGCAGACAGAGAGAGAGAGCGGACAAAGCTTTCGTGAGGAGGTGCAATCTAGGGTTTACAGACCGTTCACTACATTGGCCATGCTTCTGGGTTATTAAGGTGTGACCAGACACGTCCGGCTGGAGAGTTAATGTGCAGCTACTGCCACCTAGTACACCGACGGGTTAGTGTCCACGGCCTCCTGGCGAGGTGGGCGCGGGAGCTTTCCTCCTCCTAAGGAACCGCCCCGCTTACCGGAGGGGAAGTGAGCAGGTAGTCCACATCTGAACGTTACAGCTGAACACCACGGGTTAAAAACAAACAAACAAACAAAAACAAACAAAAAAAAACAAAGAACAAAAACAAACCCCAACGAAAAGCAGCAGGTGTTTTATTGCAGACAGGCATGCACAAGCACGGTGAAAAAGGTCAGTAGATACGGTCATGCCCCCAAGGCTCCAGGACGTCCAGTTAGACCTCGCTCGAAAGACAGGCATCCAGTATTTGGTATCACCACAGTCAGTTACTGGAGGTTTTTAGATAAACAAACAACACGAAATGTCCGTCCGAACACCGGGGTTAGGGTAAAACTACCTGTCTGTACTGGCGCGGGTCCTGCAGCTTGTGCTGTTTGCCTGCTTTCTCCGTGCTTCCTTGCCTACTTTTCGAGGCCATGGGGACCGGCATCCTGCTCGTCTGCGGGGCGGCGCCGGGGCCCTGCGGAAAGGAGCGGAGGGACGGGGAGGGGAGACAAGGAGAGAGGCGCCATCAGCACCGGCCTGCTCGCGGGGGAGGCCGCACACCATGCGCCAAAACAAAGCCGCAGGGCTACATGCAGGGAGGAGTTCAGGATGCGTCACGCCACAGGTGTTAATTTGGAGAATCAAACGGAGAAACACTGCTCAGACTACTGATCGAACTGGATCTGGTGTCAGTGCCGCTCGTCATGTCACACAGCAGATTATTGGACCCAGCTCCCCTGCGGTTGCCCATCACCAATCAGCAGCAAAAGTAAAACCCACGCGACGGGCTATTAGCTGTTAGACACCTCGTGGGGAGCCCAAACAAAGCCACCTGAGAGGAAGCAAACAAATCACAAGACCCTCTTGTTTAATGGTGATTATTGCAGATTTTTAGAAAGCAGCTGGGGTTTCGATTGGTCGCACTAAGGTACCTTACGTGCAGTGGCTGGGATGGGCGCGGGGGGCTCTACAGCAGCAGGGCTCTCATCCAGCACTACAAGCTCTCGGGGCGGGGTCTCTGGTACTATCTGGGCAGAGAAGGGGACAGTGCTGCCCTCAGAGCTGTATGTGCTTTCAGGGATAGGTTTGGGGCTCATTTCACTGATGGTGTTTTCCAGCTGCTTTATGGTCTGCTCAAGGCTGTCTAGAGTTCGGTACGTGTTCTGCCGAATTTCGTCAGTCCTAGACAGGGGCACTGCAGCGCCGGGGGGGGCCTCCTGCTTCCCAGGAGGACTTCTGTCGGTGTCCTCAGGCTGAGACCTGGTGATTTCAAACCTCTTGGCTTCCTTGTGCTGCTTAAGGGTCCCGTCTTCCTCCTCCTCTTCATATACCACGACCTGCAAGGTCTTCTTCCCAGTCTTGGTTCCCGTACGTATCGCCTGCGTCAGAGCAGCCAGCTGCTTTTTAGGGAATTTGAACTTAAATTTTTTCTTGGAATCCTGCCTGCTCCCAAACTGATCAGCAGAGTCCGAGTTTGCTTCGGTGTGCAGCCCATACATCTGACTGTATTTGCTGAAATTGGTCTTTGTGCTCTCCTGCTCTGCAGGAGACTTGGCGTCTGCAGTGTCAGAGGAAGGCTGCAGGCTGAACACGTACTGCTCGCTGAGGCCGTGAGCTGCCGAATACTCTGCGATCGCTTTTCTGTCGTTGAGAACCGGCAGCTCCTCCTTCTGGCTCTTAGAAATGCCACGCACTTCATTGTCTTCCTCCTCCTCTTCCTCTTCTATCTTCTCCTCGGTCATCATTTTCTCCAGCTCCTCATCGCATTCCTCGAAAATCGTAGAGAGCCGCTTATAGGCCGACCTGATATCCATCGGCTCGTCAAAAATGATGATGACGGGCTTTTTGTCCAGGCAGACTACGGGCTCCTCGCCTTCCGTGCTCTCTGGGACACCCTTCTCCGACACCACGTCCTTCCTCGCATCGATGTTGACCGTCTGCACATCGCCACCCTTCCGGCTGACGATGTCGTGGACCTCCCCGCTCGAGAGGACCTGGACGGCGGTTTTGGTGATCATGAAGGCGATGTTTTCGGGGGGAGGGCTGTCCTCGCTCGGCGAGCTAGCCGGAGAGTCCATCTCTTCAACGCTGTTACTCCTCGCCACCCTGGGCCTCAGCACGACCTGACTGTTGGCTGTGGGGGCTTCTTGCTCCTGCGAGGAAGGGGGGGGTCCCGCAGCCTCCGGTGGGTGCCTCGGCAGAGGAGCAACGCTGCTGACGGGGACGCGCCTGCCCGTGCTCTGCGGGGCTTCGCCCTGCGGCAGGCCCTGGCAAGCGTCTCGTGAGAGTCCGTAGCCCAGGTTTTGTTTTCCCGGTTCAACAGCTGGAAAATGGGATCCTAAAATATCTTGAGCCCCTCTTCGTTTTTCATCCTCTGGCAAACTGGCGCCAGACAGGTTTGTGCTCGTACTCTGCAGGTTTTTCTTAGAGTAGTCTCTACTGTCTACAAACAAACCCTTGCTAAAGGTAGGACTGTCATTCACTGAAAAGCCAATTTTACTGTCATCTGTGCTGGATGAATCAGAACCCAATTCTTCGTCAGTTTTCCCTTCCCTCTTCTCTTTAGGATGGTCACTATCTGTGGGAGATCCTGTTGTAGCCCCATACACCTAAGGGGGAAAGTCGGATTACTTAGTTATTCAGGGCTGTTACTTTTACAGGACTTTTTTTTTTTTTTTTCCCAAAAAAATTAATCATCATATTCTCAGGGGAAGTGCAGACCTCATGAACTCACCACTCTGTTTACTGCCGCAGAGGCATGTCTGAAGCTGTCATCTGACTCCTGTATTTCTGCAGGGCAAAATTCCAGATTCCGGCAGAGCAGTGCAGGACGTTCCTGCTCTGTGCTGTGCATGTGGCCAGCATGGCTCGTTACCTAGGGCTCCTGTTTTAACAAGGCCTCCAGCATACGCAAGGCACTCTAGTTACCTTATTTACACAGTGCTACCTTGGCCCATTTACCTCCCAGTTAAAAAAAATATCTAGTTTGTATCAGGTCGAGGTTGAAAGGTTCGTGGTATCTGATCACGTTCAGCTGGGACACTTCAATGGGGACTGGTTGTAAGGGCTGATGGCAGGGAGCTCCGGCTTGCCAGCTCACCAGAGCGCCAAATGACAGAGTCTGGCTACCCCTGAAAGTAGGTTTTCTCCTGGAAAAAGCTGATGTTACAACATTTTGCTGCTTCTAATGTTGCTCACACCTGAGCCGTGCTGCTCTATCACAGTTAGTACGGTCACAGTCCAAGTATTTCTAAATTCCTACTGCAGCTTAAAAGTTCTCCTTCCTGCAGAATTACCTGTGGCACCCTGCAGCACCCTTGGGAGTGCAGAATGACAAACGAGCCACGTTCATTTTTGGAAGCAATTCTGAACAGCATGCAGAGAGGTCAGCCTCTGGCTTGAAAGCAGCACGGTCCCAGCAATTACACTTTCAGGGGCGCTTTTTCTTTACTTTTAAATGAGGTCCCCTGGAGATGCTGATTCATTATACCAGGCTCTTTTTTTATTTATTATTTCTGGTTTGGCTTGCTAAGTGCTGGTGGCAGCTTAGGATAAACACCAATCATCAGAGTGAGGGTATGACCTGAAGAGACAGCACACCTGTGACCACAGCAAGAGAGAAACCTACAGTCAAAGGATGGTTTGCTAGGAAGGAAACAAATCTGGCATCAGGTGACTGAAGGCAGCAAGCCAAAGGCATGGCTTGAGAATAAAAACTGACTCCTAACACACAAGAAGAAGGGGTTATACTTATGTTAGCTTCAAGATATGCAGAAGATCAGCCAGGAGAGTCACTCTCCAGCTGAGATGACTGAGTGACGGCACAGAAATCCACAGGTTGGCTAGTGCAACGCATACAGGAGTTCACAAGGCACACTTTCAACATCTGTTGTTATTTTTTCTTATATATTGATGTAAGCATCTTGTATAGAACTTGTATCAAAATGCAGGAACAAGAAAGTTAGTGGTAAATCAGTCACGGTCTTACCGAAGGCACATCAGAAGAACAAGTCTGTGCAGCTGCTCCGGGACTCCCTGAAAGTCTCTCACATTTCTAAAGGAGCTATCGCATAAACCAGCCACAAACAGCGAGGTGTCACTGTGCAGGCTGATGCCACCTGCACTTTGTGCTGACAGCGGGTGTAAGAACAGAACTCCAAGGCCTGTGGGCACCTCAGGCCCAGGCCTGCTGAAGCAATCCCATTCCCTGCCACAGCAAATCCCAGAGTTAAGCCAGTCCATTTACTGGCACTCGTTGCCCCTGGAGACCCTGACTGTGACTGATTTCCCACTTCTCTATGGTTTTTAGCAAGTTGCAATTGTTCCAAGCATCAGTGCAACATATCAAGGCGTCATTGTACAACATACCTCATTTTATGAATTGTGGCCTTCCTACTAAAAATAGAAAAACACAACAAATCTCATCCCTCGTGAGTTCACCATAACTATAAGGCTCCATGTTCAAAGTCAGTAAACCACTGTGATGTGTCAGATGTCAAAACCAGCTCTCATTAACCTTAATTTCCTGGACTGTTTTCCAATAAATGGCAGTTTATGGCAATTACTTGGCAGCACCTTTTAAAAAGACATTTGGACTACAGCATGTGTGATGTCTTGAGTGGTTTTCATATAACAGTGTGATCTTATGCTGACACCAGTACTAACAGGGACAGGTTCATTCTTTTGCCTCCACAACACTACCACACACGACACAACAAACCAACTTTTCCTTTCAGTCAATGCCATGAACTTGTGCCTGCACCCAGCCAGGTGTTTGCAGCTTTAGACCAGAAGTGCTGTTCGAGCAGCTCCAAGCCAAGCCCTTGCATTCAGTGCTCTGCCCCAGCAGCAGTGGCTTTGCCAGGGAGGGCCTTTGATGCTACTAAATACCAGACACCAACATCTAGGGGTCACCACCTGCTCTAGAGCTGCAATGCCCTGTGCAGACGCAGCTCACCATGGTTATGTTACTGGGTTCTTCCTGGCCTTTAGGACCTACCGAAGTCATTTTTTCCTCTCCTTCCTCAGTTTCTGTTGAAGGAGGATGAAGTGCAATGTTACCAATAAAATCCTTGGGGAGGATTTACTCATGCTCATGAGGGTACACCAGAGAAGGTATCACTGCTATTTCCAGCTTGCACACACTCACAAGAAAGCATTACAAAGTTGAAATGCTGTGCTGAAAAGCTGTGGTTTCTTCCCCACCACATCACTTCACTGCAAACTGGCCTTTGGCTAACAAGCTGTCATGCCTGCATGGCCACCTAAACCCAACCATGATTCAGTTAATTATCCTTAAACTGGAATAAGAAGTCTGCAAAGACAGCAATATTTTTCCTATTCATCTTGCATATTGGCTGCCCACTAATGCCAATCAACTCAAGTGGCAAACCCAGTCCAGACAAAGCTGTGAAATTCACCCCAACTCGGCTATGGACCCAGACATGTGGTGTCTCTTATATGTCCCATGGTTAGTGTCCATGCGAGAATTTTGGGCCCTAACTTTCATGAGGGTGAATTTGGCCCATCCACCTTGACCCTCTCTTCCAGTAAACTGGATGGGATTTCTGAATATCTAATAACTAGGATTGACAAATGAAGAAAATAAAGCACAAAATCTCTGAAGTGGCTCGTAAAAGGAACCACTAACTCTCCCCCAAACAAGAACAAGACATAGGAGAGATGCTTTAATGTCCATTACGAGAACAGCACTGGAAGGATTTTCTGAAAGGAGGATCTCTTCAGAAGAAACCGGTGGATCCTCTCTTAACTTTAATTCCCAGTCTTAAAACCTCATGCAACCCTTGCGTAACTGCTGATGAGACGCATAACGTACATCAATATAACACTACACCTGAGTGTTTCTGACCCATAGTGGCATAAAAGGAAGGACACCACTGGGCAGTGGTTGTTGGGGGTTAGAAAGAACAGGACACAAGATATAAGATTAGTTTTAAAGTAAGGAAAGAAGGTTATGCCAAGACCGGGTGGCATGTTTACAAACGCCACTTGTTACCTTCTTTTCCTTGTGATGCATTAAAGTCCCGGGCCTTATGTCTTTAACATGTGTATCATTTCTGGACTGCTCAGCATGACTGTTTGAGTTTACATCCATAAAAGAGCACTTCTGGAAAGCCTAGGAAATAAATACTGCAGGTTATCAGGAGACCAAGTAGCTTTTTGACAGAAATGTCTGGCGATGACCAGCTACAAAGAGAGCATTTGTTTTTCACATTTACAGCAGCTTGGTATTATTTACAGCCTCATGACATAGCAGAGATTTTAGACTATGTGACTAAGACAAATAGAGTGTACCCACCACTTTGCCAAGACCATACTCAAACTTATCACACTGACCCCAACATCCCCTGATGGGGTGTTGAAGGCGCACAGTGGTGCTGCAAACTACCCAAACGTAACTAGGAACTCTGTGACAAACGTTAGGCTTGTAACAGTACCCACTTCACAGAGACTGAAACCTCCTCAAAATCCTCATCAGACACATTTTGGCCTTGACCACACATCACTTAATGACTAAACCTGAAGTTTTATGTGTTAAGCTAAACAAAGGCCAAAGCTCAGCTCACTTTATTCCATTTAGACACATTTATTCCTCAGACACTTCTCCTGTGCTCCCTTCATGCTTCCGCACCACCATTCCCAGTATTAGCGAGGGTTTGCTGTTTCCATGGCTAGGACAAGCACAGCTTTTCCAGATTGTCTCATCTGGAAGTGGTCTGCCTGTTGCCTGCAGAAAGGTGAGGAAGAAGTGGAAGCAGCAGGCTTCCACTTCCACAAGCACGGTGAATAAATGAGAAAAGAAGGCATGTAACACCTCTTCCCCACCCCTTGACATCCACTCAGCTACCACATTTGTTAGCTTCATTGCTCATCATGCAAGAGCTACACAGCTCCCCATACAGTGTTATTAAAACTTCAGATGTGTCTCTACCACAGCCTTCACTCCTGCTCCTGGAGATGTTCCTGGGGTGGCAGTCTCCTTCAGGCTCCTCCTGCTGTGGAAACAGCCCAATGTATGGGCGTGGGGACCACTGGCCTCCCACCGTGTGTACCCCAGGACACAGCCTGGACTTTTCAGCCCTTTTGCTATCCTCCTTCCATTTCCTTTTCTCTACCCAGCTGGCTCCCAGATACAGAGAAGCAGAACCATCACTGCCACTACTGCGTGGTCCTGGCTCTGAGAGCACATCACTGGGATTTCTCTGTCACTACTGGCATTGACTCAAGTCAGTGGGATGTACAGGTGGGACATCTCTGCCAGCCAGGGGCATGAGGGAGGAGTGCTTATGGGAGTCAAACACAACGTGACACACAAGAAGATTATATTTGTATGCTATTTGTTATGAAAATCATTTAATTCCTGGCAACTCTCATGAAATTAATAGCCCAGACTACAGATTAGAATCAAAATTAAAAAAAAAATCAAAATTAAAAATTGTTCTTTTCATATTTCTTCCATGTTTATGTAAAATCAGAGAGGTAAAAATAATGAAAAAATGCAGTACAAAAAAATCACGGTGCAGTTTCTGCTGGTTTTCCATTACATCCTGTTTTTATGTGTTTACAGATCAAGGTATCGAAGATGACACAGAACTCCTAGAACAAGTAGTCCTGTTCCCCCTGTCATACATGGTACGGACTGTCCACAGCTTACCCATTTATGAGACCAATGATGTGTTTTTGGGTTCATCTACAAAGGCATTCTCAAAGGCCTTCAGACCTTAGAAGAATTCACCATGTCCCTTGGTAATTTGTTAATATATCACCTTTGTTGTGAAACATCTATCTGAATGTCCATGTTTGTGCTTCAGCAGCTGATTATTATGCCTTTTTCTGCTAGATTAAAAAGGCGCTTCACATGAAAGTACCTCCACAGTGTCCTCAGGTGTCTTCTGAACCTTCATATTCTTACCCATTCTAAATAGGTGACGCATGGACACTTAGTCATGGACGCTGACCTCACTGATCCTCTGTACACAGAGATAAAAACACTCCCTGTTCTCACATCTACACCTAAAGCAGATATCAGCTTTGTGGCAACAGCACTCCCCTGGGAGCTCCTCTCAACTTGTTACTGCAACTCCTGCTCCTTCCCAAGACATGCAGTTGTGGTCTGGCCTGTATTTGTTGTTCCTCATGCAGACTGTACATTTCACTGAATTCAAATGCATTATGACCATCAAGTGATTGCTATCGTATCCCTGCGCTCATACATCACCAGTTTTAAGATTTAATCTGATTTGAAGAGTAAGGATTTTAAATGTATTTCCAGGATGCTGATGAAAATACAGAGTGGCACTGGGCCAGTAGCTGACCCCTCCAGATCTCACTATATACACCTGCACTGAGGGCAACACTTTCAGTACCAGACAGCTCTCAATCCTCTTGAGGTTGTCTTTTATTTTCTTTTTTTTTTTTTTCTTTTTTTTTTGTATACTCCATGGTGCCAGATTTTAATCAGAATGCTATATGGTAGTTGATCAAATGATTTACAAAAATGTTTACAGGTATACAATTCAGTTTTATCATAGAATCACAGAATGGTTTGAGTTGGAAGATCACCCAGTTCCAACCCCCTGCCATGGGCAGGGACACCTCCCACCAGCCCAGGTTGCCCAAAGCCCCATCCAGCCTGGCCTTGAACACCTCCAAGGATGGGGCATCCACAGCTTCTCTGGGCAGCCTGGGCCAGGGCCTCACCACCCTCTGAGTGAAAAATTTCCTCCTTGTATGTAATCTAATACAAACCTGCCCTCTTTTAGTTCAAAGCTATTACTCCTTATCCCATCATTCCACCCCCTGACACAGAGTCCCCCCCCCAGCTTTCCTGTAGGCCCCCTTTAGGTACTGGCAGGCTGCTTTAAGGTCTCTCCGAAGCCTTCTCTTTGTAGGCCCCATCCTCGTGGCCCTCCTCTGGACTCATTCTAATACGTCGCTGTCCTTCTTGTGCTGGGAGCCCCAAAGCTGAACGCAGTGCTCCATGTAAGTTTAATCAGTCTAACCTTTTATCTGATCAAAGAGTGTTGTTTTCTTTGAACAGCTCTGTGTTCCATTACATTGTGTTAACAAGCATAACTGTGAGTGTCTGTCCTTTAGTTCTTCATTAACTGAACCCCAAGCCTGGCTTTCCCACTCTGCCTATGACTGACATCAGACTAATCAGTTTGTAGTTCCTGGATCAAACAGTTTGACCTTTCTAAAACATGGCACCCTGTCAGCCTTCTAAGAGGTACCTGGTATTTTGATTATTGCTTAAAATGAGCACTGCTTATCCTCAAAACTAGCATCTAAACACTCATTTCTTGTTGATCTACCAAGCCTATTTCTCTTCCACAGCTTCCCTCAGTCTCCTTTCACAGACATCCATCTCTACTTCATTGCCATAAGTTGATGCTTTCCCAGAGACAGCAGACAATGAGACAATTTCACTGCCCATAGTTCTGTCTCATTAGACATTAGCACACAAATGGGGGACAAGGGTAAACCCTTGCTCTTGCTCTCTGCAAACCTGTTTGATGCTCTGGTGGGTGAAAACTGAGCAGGGTGCACTCATCATACAGAACAGTCACTGCTTAATTCCACATCTGTGTTGCAAACACTCGTGTGGCAGCACCAAAACCGTCTTTTGGTGGACAGCAGGGAACATTTCATGCCATGACAGTGCTCTGAGCCATCACAAACATCAGAAGTTATTTGATCCAGTTAAGATGATCTACATCTCCTTTCCTCCTGAGGACATGGAAGAGGACAGAGGGTGTCCCAGAAGGCTGGGACTCACTGATGGCAGCTGGAATAGTTGGCTTTTACTTTAGCATCATGATCACTGTGCTAAACCAGCCTATGTGCTGTCAAGTGAAGCACTAGTTCTATGTCACTAGCAGAGTAATACACCAGTTACACAGCAGGGAACAACAGATGATTCAATGCCCAAACATGCCAGAAAACACTGGACCATGGCACAGAACAAGTGAACACAGCTCACCAGGAGCACACCCCGTAGTATTCTCCATTCCCACCAGTGTTAACACAAACAATGGACTCTCAGTACCTTTTGGGTCTGGTACAGTGAGAAATTTGATGCCAGGGCAACCACACCAAATGCACACCAATATTTTACTTGACCCATCTTTGTGTGTCTTGAGAGGTTCTCCAGTGACAACCTCTGCATTCTTGAGCACTCTCTCGGCTCCAGACCTCTTGAACAAAATTTGGGTGGTGCTTGCAAAATGCATACAATCCAGCACAAAAAGTGGAATTGGGTGAGACTGGTGGACCTACTTCTCTTCATGTTCAGAGCTGGAAATTGTGCTGAGGCCCCAGAAGTGTTACTGAGCACAGATTACCAGAGGGCATACTTGTGCATGTGCAGTGCAAAAGCCTACCTGTAATTCTGCCATTATTTTATCTCCTTCTTCTTCCTCTTCATCTTTTACAGCAGATGCTACAGCAAGCCCTGTGTTCCGAGACAATGTCTGATCCTCTTTAGGGGTTTTGGATTGTGCTACTTGCCCAGCATCTTCACTGCATTCCTACAAAGGCATGAAAAAGCACAGACAGCCAATGTAATCGAGCCCTCTGATGAAAAGCAAACACAGTAAATTCAGCACTGAAAAGGACTTGTGGCGAGGTCCCGCTTCCTTTTTAAGCAGATATTGCTACTTCACATGAGTAGGATTAAGAGCTTCTTCACCTGGCCTTCCCTCCACTTCCTTCAGGGGACAGAACGAATGAGAAAAGGAAGCCCAGAAAAACTAATTTGGAACATTTCTGAAAAAATGCTCTCAACTCTGAGCTGATCTTCCCCATCTGTTTAAGGCATGCTTTTTATTTTTAATCTTCTTATGACTTCAAATGAAAGCAGCTTGTGACTTGCCTTCTGTATTGCTAGGAAATCAGTGCAGCAAGGCTGACTGCTGTAAACAAAACTGATAAAACCTTACTTGATCATTTGGCCTACCAGCAGTGTTTCCTGCTAGGCAGTTTCAGTAGCTCTCCAGGATGCAGCCCTGTCTCAACTTATTTTGTGGTTTATAGACACAGCCCAAGCCTGGGAATGTGCCTCCGTGCCAGCCATTCATCAACAATGTGATTGCCTAGAGTGAATCACCAAACCTTGACAGCAGCAGCCTCTTTCCTGGCTGCATAGATGACCTCTCCTGATCTCGTGGTGGTCAGTCCTGACCCCGGCAGGTAACTGCGGCGTGGAGGTGGAGGAGGCGGGGACTTGGTCAGCTTATCATTATCCTGGTCTGCGTCAGGAACATCTTCTGCAAGTAAGCAGGGTAGCACAGAATAAACACAGGTGAAGAAGGAAAACAAGCATTTGCAGCCCTGCCTCAACCAGAAAGAAAGAAAAACAAATCTTAATAGGTTCTGCTGCTGAATATATATGAAGAGAAACATGTTTGTGATTCAAGTGGAACCTCCTGGAACAAAAACAAACAGCGTGGAAGTTGCACAGCATAACCAGGCCACTTCACCCACAAATGTTCAGCAAATCTCCTGTCCCCGCATCACTGTGGCTGGGATTTCAGCTCTTGGTGGGTGTGATAGCTCAGCACACTTCTGGAAATTAACCAGCGGTAAGCGTGGGGTGCAGATACGTCTGGGTACCTGATTACAGATAGTGCCCCTGCAGCCTCCTTTGAGCGCTTCAGCATTTGTTTTCACTTCATGTAATACTGACTGTTGCAGGAAAGCACAGCTTTGCTTTGAGTTGTAACAGCCGTATATACATTTTGCTAACCCACAGCGATTCATTTTCCAGATCCAGTATCTAAGCAGAGCCAGCCCTCGCTTTCTGAGGGGAGCTTTCCAAGACAAGACCAGTTTCTCAAACTGGTATTTCCCCCACACCCAGCTGCTTCCCCACCCAGCTGCAACTTCCTCTTCCCCGCCACCACTGGACAGCATTTTCCCAGCAGCAGCATTTCCCTGCTCATGACCTGTCCCTGTGTGTTCCTGGTCCCAGGCTAAGCATCATGCATGGCAACAGCCTCTGTTTTCACACCGCTGCTTCCAGGGTTTGTTTTCAAGGGTGAGAGAACGACCTTTCTGCAGCTACTCAGTGTTATATAAACAGCTGGAACACACATAACCCAGAGAGAAAAAAACCTCCTGCTTTCAGATTACCCAGCTGGTTGGGGCTAAGTATTCCCTCTGGGCAAGTTATTCCATAAGTGTCTGCTCCTGGGGCTGCATCAGGCTCCTCTGATGCACTGGCCCCTCAGGGGAGTTTGAGCCCTTGGCTGACCCAGCCTCATCTTTGCTCTCTTCTTAGATCAAATATTCTTCAAAGCTGCTTAAGCTTAAAGAAGTGCTCTGCTGTGTTACCCCCCTCCCTGGTTATCTGGCACTGACTCGCAGGATTGCAACAAGAGTGATTTTCTAGAGGCACACTACATTAGACTGCTGCTTTTGTCAATACACACCACTAAGGTTTTCATGGCATCAGGTGTACTCTGCCAGCACAAAGTAAAATCTGCTGCTGTAAAATCAAAATAGTTCTCTAAGCACAGCATCTGATGGTGGTATGGGGCCTGTGCAAATTTCTGCTCCTTTCAGTGGGCTCAACCTATTACCCTCAGGCTGATACTGCATCTCTGAATGCAAGAACATGCAAGTTTTCCTCACACTTCGTAAGTCTGCATGCAAGATATGGAAGGCACAAAGAAAAAAAAATATTTCTACCATCTCTATTTGTGAGACATCCATCTCCACCTTCAAAATAAGAAGCAAAAAGTAGAAACTCAGCCAAGAGAAATGATCAATGGCACGTGCATGGGTTCTCAAAAGCCAATCCCGCTCCCATTTGGTTGTAACGGGGTTTGCTTACAGTCAATGTTATAACACCAGGCAAGGTATGAAATTTCAAAGCTGAATTTCTATTTTCTTTCATTTACTTCATTTCCCCAATCTGAGTGTGAAGCAAAAAAAAAATATTTGACGGAAAAAAAAATGAGGAAAAAACTTATTATAATATTTTTTTCTTTGGATGAGCTCTTCTCCCATATTTATTAGAGGGATGAGCAAATGGATAAATACAGTTCACTGAGTCTGAGACTACCTGTGATCAAAAATGCTACTTTATGAAACCCTCCCTGGTGCCAAGCAGCTCAGCACTTCTGTGAACAAAATGGGAGTCGTTCATCGTCATTTCATTGAACTGAAGAGTTCTTCAGCAGGTACAGCCAGACTAGAATTAGTTTATCCTACTATGTAGCTTTCTACTTGCACCAAAACATCTAATGTCTTTAAAAAAATATCTTAATAATGCCTGCCTTGAGGCAGCCTTTGTAGTCAAAGTAATGGAAGCTACTGATCACTCAGCACTTCCAAAAATCAGGGTGTTCTCACATGTGAAGGCACAAAGGGAGATAAAGGAGCCCGATTTCTAATGTATGTTAGAGACAGTCCCCATATTTTTTTTGCTGAACAATTCTGATATCAAAGATGAGTTACAGTTACATTAAAGAAGTATTTACACAGTTATCTGAAAAACCGTGGGGAAAAAGAAAAAGAAAAAAAGTGTGATTTAACTTTGCTTTGTGCTTTGTAAGGGAAAAAAAAAAAAAAAAAAAGAGTTTCTTAGTGGGGTTCTGTGTGGAGAATTGCTGAGACAAGATATTCTGGTAACGGGATCTATCTGGGTTCTGCAGCAAAGCCAGCGAAGGACTGTGCTAATTTCTGTCCAAAATGTCTTCTGCATTATATTACCAGGGTAGGTGGTATCTCTCTTCTTATGTTGCCCAGTTTTTTGGCCTACATCAGACTGCAGCATACTGAAATTTTCTTCTTGAATCATAGAAGAGCTGGGTGGCATGTGAGACATTTAATCAGGTATTAAGGAAAAGTTTTTCAGTTCCTTTAAATTATTTATGTTACTATTACAGGATTCATTATGCACAACAGAAGGCAAATGCCTCAATCTCATCAACTTTCTCTCTAAATCTGCTGGCTACACACAGAGCAAAATGGTATTCTAGAAGTGGATTAGTTAACTATGTGAGTTACAAAACATCTCTGCTGCTGTGTTCTGCGCTTCTTAAAATGTCACAGCTCACTGCACCCATATGGTACATATTTTCACTGACTTTTTCTATTTATGCCAAACATTACACAAGTTAATTGCATGGCTAGCCTGCAACTTCACTGAATGGTGACAGAATTCCAAAATTATTTTACGGGGTTCAACAGAATTTATTTTAAGCCTGTATGTTGAGAAAGGAGCAACAACTTGTCAGTGTTAAAGGCACGCCAGAACAAAATGCTGACACCCAAAAGCCTGAGTGCAGCATGAAGCTCTGGTCTCACATCTCCAGGACACAGTGGAGGTAGAAAAGAGCAAGTGAAACTGCCTGGTAAGGGAGCAGTTGGCCTTGATGGAGGGATGAGAAAGGCTGCAAGTCTGCAGTTTGGAGCAGGGTAGGCTGGCACCTCCAGGATATGATCGAGGTTCATCCACTGCCTTCATGGTTTTACAAAAGGAATGCAGAAGTGTTGTTTGCCAAACTGCAAAATATGAGAACTGTGGGGAGCTCAGTGATACTGGTGGGAGATGAATGTAAAACAGATGAAGGAAAGCTCCTCTGCAGGATGGGAGTGAGCTCCTGGAGCTTGCTGTAGTGGGGAGGCAAATGGTTCTAAAAGAGATTAGAGGAATTAATGGCTAAAAGGTCAAAAACATACCCATAATAGATATGAAAAGGAGCAGGTTACATTACTCCCTTTAACATCAATTGGGGTGTTGGAGGTGTCATAGCAGACTGCAGAAAGTGGCCAGGTTTCTGTGCTGCCCATAAAGACCATCTTCTGTCGCCTCTGTCAGAGGCCGAGTACTGAGCTGGAAGGGACACTGCTATGACCAAACAGGGCATTTCCAACGTTTTTACATTTGTAAGTAGTTGGGTAAGAATTTTGCAGCTGACTCATGATTAACAATACCATTGGCTGAGGCAGCTTCTTTGTTCCTTAAACTTTGAAGAAATTTACATGTGGATTTGTATGCTAACTTGTGAAAAAATAGGACTGGAAGGAAAACCAATAATCCTGCTACCACAGAGCATTACACCATTAAACCTGCCTCCCACGAAGGATTATACCTATATAATCCTTGATCTATGTTAGCACAAACCATTTTCTCCAATGATGGTGTTCAGACATCTTCATCGCCTCACGCAGCCTTCTTCAATACTTCACTTTCCTTACTATTATGAGGCTTTTCCCAACCCCTAACCTGGATCTTCCTGATTGCAATTGCCAATTTCTACTTCTGTCCTATCCACACAAAGCAAGTTGGTCTTTCTTCTTTTAAGCAGATTTTTTTTATATATTTAGAGACTGCTTTGTCCTTCCTCAGACTTCTTTTCCTGATGCTAAGCAAAACCAATTCTTTCTTTTTTGTCCCCTACAGGCCATGTTTCCAGAGCTCTGGTCATCATCATCACTGTGATCTTGACTCCTTCCTTCAGTTTTCCTTGAAGTCAAAACATTGAGTTTGGGGATTTCTATGTAAGAGCTCACCAACTGCTGAGCAGATTCACGTGTCTTGTAGATACTCCTGTTCAATCAACTCATTATGATGATATTTATTTATTTATTTTTTTGCTAGGGGGTCACAGTCAGACTCAAGTTAAACTTGAAACTCGGTGTATCTATACCAAGCTGTGGGTGGACCGAATCCTTACTGCAAAAGTCACTTCCATTTATTCCTACATATCTAGCCACTTCTCCAGGACAACTCGGTTATGTAGCTAATAGGTCTTTTTCAGACCTCTGAGGTCCAAAACACTTAGCAAGGACCATTAAGATCACACAGTCTGACTTCCCACATTGCAGATGTTGAAGGATTTTTTCAAGTAGGTCTTGCATCATGCCCAGAACTTGTATCTGAGCAGTCTTTCAGAAGGAAATGTATTATTGCTTAAAGATTTGAAGTGGCAAAGAATCCAACATGTTGATAATTAAACTAGCTTCAGTGATTAGTTACTCCGAATGTTAAAATTTGACACCTAATTTTTAATCTGGCTTTTTGCAGCATCAGCTTCCAAGTGCTGGAACTTGTCAGAACTCGTTGTACATAGTTAAAAGGCCTTCTTATCCTCAGAAACCTCAGGAATGTCTTGATTTTCTTTTGATAAAAAACGTCTACAAAAAGTGCTTCTTAAGTTTCTGACGGTAAAATCATTTGTGCTTGACATCTTTGTGGTTCTTTCCACAGCCCTCCATAATGCTAAACTTTTAAGAGCAAAAATGAGCACAGTATGCTAGATATAGTGTACAGAAACCCTCATCTCTGTCAAAATCAAGGTGTACGCTTACTCTCCTACTTATGAGGATCTTTCATCTCTAAGAGGACAAACCCACTCATTTGCTGTATGGGGAAATTTGTGTTCAGCTGGTCACCCACACTGGCATCTGCAAAATCACTACTTTTGTGATAGAATCCTTCGTTCTGACAGCTGCACTTCCTCAGGGACCACTCACTGGTATGATCAAGATCACAGAAATCTTTAAGTTGAAACCATTTTAGAAAGTGAAAAAATAAATCATCTTTTCCAGATATGTGCCTTCTTAGCACCATTTGCTCTAGCAAACCTCACCTGAGACTTCAGGTTTTTCCACTGTATCTCCTTTAGGGAGGACTGCTGGCTGGGGAGGCATTTCCAAGTTGGGAATTGACTTCATTATGTTGGCCTGGGCCTCTTCCAAGAGCTTTTCAAATTCCTTTCCATTATAGTGATCCAGGTTTTGCCTCTTCTCTTCCCATTTCTTTTCTGCTTTCTAGACAAAAACAGTAAAGGATCAGTTTACCTCTCCGATTTCTGTTATGATCACTTTTTAAAAAATGCACGTGTAAACATCATAGGTCACCATGATGTTTCACCATGATTCTTACAGTTCTAGTCAGCAACTAGAGGGAAGATAATGGAACTGTAATTGAACAATAGTTCCAACTTTCATTGTGCTAGATGTGGCACAAACACAAGACAAACTAACAGTGGCCACTGCTCACTAAAAGAACAAAGGAAAAATTTAAATCTGGGTTGATGGTTTATTACATCACATGGTGATTAAAGTGCATGTCTGTAATAAGACATGAGAGTTCAGCTGTGGGTTTGCTCAGTAGCTCTGTGTGAAACCACTGAAACTTTGCACTCTTTCATCTTTACCTCTCCATAATAAGGAACATGGAGATCTAAAGAGTGAATGAAATTCATCAATGCAAGTGTTGCCAAAGAATCATACGTTATTGTTCAAAAATAGGGTAATTATTTAATATTTTTAAAAATAAAGTTTATTTAAAAACACAGGTATTCATTTTGGTTACATGTTATACTGTTGCATTGAAAATCAGAGGGTATCCAGAAGTGCGTGGTGTAGTTCGAGGTTAAGCATATAAATTCTCATAATGCATTTGAAAATCCCACCTTCAGTCTCAGGAGCGAGACTGGGAGCTCAGACACAAAAAGACAACAGCTGGGTGAGTAGAAGACACCGTACCTCAATCGATACAGCTCTGTTTCTGGTACTTGCACTGTGAATTTCCTCAATGAAAAGACTTTGCATGGTGTTGCCATTGACAGAGACCTGTGGTGATGGCATGCCTGGTGTGGGCTGGGATCCTACTGCTGGTTCCTGGGGGGGGGCCGGTGGGGTGGCCGAGAAGTGGCCGCTCACTGGCAGACCTTCACTGTGGCTGGGTGCAGCAGGTGAGCCCTGGGCATGGTTGACCAGGGCTGATGAGTGCTGAGACTGATGGATGACAACAGGAGAGCTCTGCACGTGATGGACCGTCATTGTTGAGAAGGGGACGACTTCTGACTTGACTGAAGATACCTGGGACTCTGAGGTGACTGCTGTGAGGTTTTGCTGTGCGTGTCCCTGGGTATGCTTGGGTTCCTCCTGGCTTTTCAGAGCTTCAGTTGCAGTGGCCTTTTCCATAGTGGAGTATTGCACAGCTTGGGAGGGATCCACACCCCTCAGCAGTCCTTCTGTAACATGTCTGCCCAGCCAAATTGAACACAACAGCATGGCACATGGTTAGCATCCAGGTGGGTCATGAGCAATATTTAACAACAAGCTTTTGCAAGGGAAAAGCTATAAAATACCAACTATATCAAATACATTAGAATGATGTTTTTTTTTCTTAATGCTGTCAGTTCTGTGATTTTATATTTTTCTCTAAGAGTCCGGGGCTTGTTTTTTTTTTCAGAGAGGTCACGCATAGGAGGATGTTTTTGCCTTTTAAAATGTTGACAAACCTTTATGAATGTATTGGCACTTTTCTTTTACCAAACCATGAGTTACAGTGGTTTGATTTTAGAGGGAGACTGGAAATCAGTTGACTTTTTTTTTTTTTTTTTAAACACAAAATCTAGACAAGTAATTCCTGGACTATTAACACAGAAAAAGTAGTTACACAGAATCTGAAGTAGCAGTTTAGCAAACTGCAAAAACAAAGCATTTAAACAGTACTTCAGGAAGGTCTTGTCTGTAAAGTTTGGGGTAGAATGAGGTAAGGATGCAAAGAGTCAACCATTTCTAAGAACTGGCTGTGAAATGGCTGAGCCTCAAAGCTTGGCTATCCATCAAATGTCATCAGTTTTTCCAATACTAAAACAGAGTTTATGACACTTTCCAGGTATTCTGTCTGGGAAAAAAACAACAACAAAATATACACTTTTGGTAAAACTTGGGCTCATTGTTTATTTCCCAAACTGGATAAGGCAGGAAATAACTGAAGTCATTTTTAAGAAAAGGAAGCTAATACGAAAGGATATGGATGTTTATCTACCTGGAAAAATAATTGGTGGCTCTGAGAAGGCCTGTTACATAAACCAGTTTGTCCTTCTGCCAGTACTGGCAAATTCATTTTATATATGCTCCAGAATATATGGGAACAGTGTCAACCCTACATTCCTTAGAATAATGGTAGCAACAATATATTTATGACTTGGATTTGCTTGTAATGGAAGCAAAATTGAGACCACGACCATTGACAGTTTGGCCTAATTCATTGAGTTTTGAGTGGGGATTAAATCCAGTATCTATTGCCTCATATAATTCAGCAGTTGTCTGCTGCTGATATATTCTGACAAACATAGCTAAACACTGGCACTTAGTGGACACACATTTTATCTAATATTTGAACTTTCTCTAAAGTATCTTGCAAACAAAACAAAAACAAAAAAAAACAAAAAACAGAATAAAGAATTTGAATGGATAACCACTCACATTGAAAATATTTGTTTCTTACAGAAGGTTCTTTATCCACTTCAAATCTTTCCCTGTTATTTCTTACTGTTAGATTTTTGGGGATGCACATTTCAGTGTCAGAGAATATTTCTATTGACTTAGATTGCTGTAAATGCCTACAGCTAATTAACTCACATACGGGACTGGTGACATTCTGTAAGCTTTCTCATCAAGGTACTTCCCAAATCTGGAAGCTAGTTTCAATCATAAGCTCTGGACAACTGAGACTGTTGGTCAGAAGAGAACCACTGCACAGAGCACAGGAAAAGATAATCTGATTTTCCTTGAGAAGGCTCTAGAAAGGATCCATAAAATACTGCAAACAAGTTACATATCCCTATATTCCTTGGGGAGAGGGGGAGAACACAAACCCAAAATGCTTGAGGAAATTTTTTAGCTTGAAGAAAAAAAAAATCACCTCCTGAGCATTGTAAGGATATCCGTCATGCTGCGCACACGTTTCAATAAGCTGTCTAGCTTGTGTGGCTCTTCCTTTAGGAACCTCACGGCTTCTACCTCAATGCGGAGGATTGCACGCATTTTATTCTGCAACGTCGGGAACTCTCCTGCAAAGACAACAACTATGAGGCTCAAGAGGAAATCATAAAAGCCCTGGGGAAAAACAGATGACAGGATGAATGTTAAACAGTTGACTGTCAGCCTCTTTTCAGGGGCCATGCAACAAGCCCTTTAATCCTGACTTTAAATATATTGGAAGTGAAAGTTTATGCCTTCAGATCAAAGGCAAAATTGCTTTCAGCCACTGTGGTCAAAAGAGAATAACCGAAAGGAAAAAGGACGAGTACATACCTTTAAGGGTGGCAACAGCTTCTCCCACTTGCCTTAAAAGAAAGGCTCCATCTTCAACATCTTTCAGTGTCACTGTCTTGTTGGAAGCAGTGGAGTCTCTCTTTAGGTCCTCAACAAATCCCTCCAGCTCACTGGCAAAACAAAAAGTGAACATGAAATGTAAGAAGGACTTTCACATTACAATCAAATATATGTAAATGAATGGACTGTATCAGAAACCTCAACTGTGGCATCTTTAAAGCTGATACCACAGGATTAAAGAAAACAGCAGGGTACCAGGAGGGGACATGAGGCTGCTGCACACTCATGCCCACAGCACAGGACCAGGCTCGTAACCAGCCCCAGTCATTGATTTCTCTGATGCTGCAAATGTGCAGAGCAGCTGTGCTACAAAGGGCAGATGGTGTGGTGAAACACATCCAGCAGCCAGCCCTCTGGGAATGCCAATCCTAGCAGAAGGGTACATAGATGCTATACCATAACATCCAGCACAGGTTTGCACCTTATATTTTCTCGCTGCTAATAACATGCAAAAGAATGCACAACAGCAAAGTGACAGCCCAAAAACTGGCACTCACAACCCCTTGGTGCAGAACTGTTTATCTGACCGTCTGTTCTAGACAGGATACAGCGTCCTGTTTCCACAAATAGCCAGAATGAAACAACAAGTGTGCATTGTATGCAGCTCTTGGTCAGCGTTTGGACTAACAAATGGATCACAGAGGCTGCTTTCCAACAAGTGCTGTCCCACGCTTCCTCAGGCTTCATCTGGTGCTTCCTCAACATCTTTCATGATACCTTGTCCAGTACTTCCTTGCTTCACATAAATTTTCACAATCATTTACACACTTTATTTATTTATTTTTTTTTGAGGGACACAGGTTTTTTCCTTATAAGGTTGAGACCAGGTTGTTTTAGCTGGAGTTTCCACCCAGAAAAAATTCTCTCAACAAATCTCTTTAAAAATACCTGCAGTGCATTATACACAACTAGACAAAAACCAGAACAAATACCTATGCGAATACCTCATAAGAACCATCTCTTAAAAATTGTTTTAAAAGAAATCTGCCTCGATTGAGATACCAAATTCACTAACAGGAGTATTCTGAAAGTAGTTTAACTGCATGTTAAAAAACAATGCAAAGTAGGCTCTGAGCTGACAGTCAGGTGCCATTTTAACCTAATTTTGTGCCTCATTTCTCCCATCCACTCAGGTAGAAATTTTGCAGTTGCTGTAAGGGAACAAAGGTATGGGCTGATTGCCTGGAAAGAGGTAGGAAAAGACCGCCACACATTTCTCTTGGGCTAGCACAGCCATGCAATTCCAGCAGAAAATTACTCATTTTCATTCAGGCCACTTCCTAGATCCATCTCAGTGGCTAGGCAATATGAAGAGGAAAAGAGAGGAGTAGGTGGCCAGTAACAGGAGAAAAGCCGTTGCAGCACCACTCTGCATTAGGTCATTGAAAGGGGAAACACAGTCACACAGAACAATAAAGGACCATACAGTAGTACTTCTGATGCACAGAGAAACCGAAGTAGTATCAGGATCTGAACACTAAATTAATACAGCAAATAATTCATTTCACTCCAAAGCCAAGGAACTTGAGAACTTATCAAACAATTCAGAGTTAAGAATCACAAGTTGCTTCTGAACAGACCACAAACATAAGTGGGGTTAAGTGATGCTCCTCCCGTTTTAAGATCACTTCTCCCAAAGACTCTGCCTTGAGAAATACAGCGTCACCATTTCCAAATAGCAGAAGTGTACATTTAGGAAACAATTCAAGGGACCACACGATGGCAGCAAGGCAACATTACTCGGGATATTTTTGCAGTGGAAGAGGCTGCAATAACGCAGGCATCCGCTGTCCCCGTGTCTGCCTCTGCTATAAAGAAGGGTGCAGATATAAACTGGGAAGGAGCTGGGAAAAGAGAGAGCTCTCCATCACTCACTGCAGTGCAAAGGCTCCTGCCCCCCAGAATGATGCCCTACAGTCATGCATCCTCCCCATCCTTTACACCCTGATAGCAGTGCTCAGGACAAAGCAGCGCTACTTCATGAATCATAGGGTGAGCCCCTCTCCCCTCTTTTGTAGAGCACAAGTGGAAAAACAGCTTCTCAGATGTTTGCATCCACCAGGCAATGAAAAAGGCAAGGGGAGAAGCTTAAGTTCATTCACAGGTGAAAAGAAGAGAAATGAACCAAGAACAATACTGGGATGTTTTGGTAGGCTTATAAACTGGTGGAAATACAGGGATAAAGGAAAGACTTCCAGCTAGAAGACAACGTCTTTCTTTCCGTTTTCTTTGAGCAAAAATGGAAAGGATCACCTTAAAAACCTTCAGTTCCATGCAGTGATACTATCAAACAGGACAACTGATCCTGAATTGCTCAGGGGATACCGTATTACACTGCCTCAGGTTGCTAGCTACAAGGGAAAAGAAACCTCAGCCCTCAGGAGCCAAAGATTTAAACAGATGAAGCAGTCTCCAGTGTTTCTTTTATGTAACTGGGAAAACAACTTGGCTTTATAGATTTGTTTGAGCAAACCCAATTAACAAGACAGTCACCTTAAAGCAGTCTCTGAAGGCTAATACAAGATAAATGATTTTCCTGCAACTATGTTTTACAGAGAGAAGCTAAGACAAGCTTTTATGCTGAGATCTTTCTTTAGGCAAAAAATAAAAATAAAAATAATCAGAGGATCTGTCTCAGATTGCAGTATCAGTAGGGCAGGTTACAAAACAAACTGACAAAAAGAATGGCAACAAGTCACCCAGACCAGATGGTATTTGCCCTGGAGTTCAACAGCAACTCAAGGATGAAACAGTCAAACTATTAATGCTAAGCATCTAACTTCTTCATTAAAATTGCTTTGGCACCAGAGTAGTGGAAAGTGTCACAGGTGATAAAAATAACTTTTTAAAAAGGAGGTGGGGCTACACAAGGGTCTGTGCTCTGGTGAGATTGACATCCAAACCGGTGCAATTGATAGATACCATAACAAAGAATAAACAATAAAGCAACAGCGCACCCAGGGATGAATATATTGTGTTAACATGACTTGAGTAAAGAGAAGGTCTCTCAAATCCAGATGGTGCTTTAAAGGAAACAGCAAAAGCATAGGGAAAAACTACAGCCCAAAAGGTTTTCAGCTAGGTATCTAAGTAAAAGCTCTTAAGAAAGAAAAGTTGCCTCAGGACAAAGAGCGGAGGGAAAATTCTCTCATGGATAAAGTAATGGAAGTAAAGAGAAGGGATCAATGAACAGCTTACTCGATGAATGGAGCTTGCTGGTGGGTTCCATAGGGATCTGTGATAGGGCTGGTGCTTTTCAACATACTATAAATGATTTAGAAAAGAGGATGAATAGTATAGTCAAAAAAATCTCCAAAGGATATTAAATTATTCAGGGGAATGAAAATGAAAGCTGACTGCAGACGGCTGCAGATGGACCTTCTGAATCTAATTGACCAGGAAGAAAACCAAATATCAAAGTCACTCCTAATAAATGTACAGTAATTCTCGTGATATAAAGAAAAACAAAACCAAGCAAACAAACCACCATCACCCCCCCAAAACAAAAACAAAAACAACAACAAAAAACTAAACCCAACAACCTCCTGAAGTTTTTATACATAATCATAATCTTTGAACTGCTAATCAGTCCTCATAAATGTGATGTTGGGTTTGGAATGGAAAGCTCGGATGGACCATGAGGACAGGAAGACCATCACCATGCCACTGCATGAAACCATGGCATACCCCCATCAGCTACAGCCTGTGCAGGGCTCTTCTCTCTCCCCGCCCCCATCTCACAGATGTACTCTGGAGTTAGAAAGGACACAGAAAAAGACAATGGGATGAGGAAATGTATAGAATATCTGCTACATGGGAAGTAACTATGCAAACCAAGACTTTACAGGCTGGAAAAGACACGATCAGGGTAAGGGTGTGGGGAGAGTTCATGACATCATGACTAGAATGGAGTTGGTGAATATTCTGCCTTGCATAATTTAAGAGTTTGGGAGTTGAATGACAGATGGTAGATTTAAAAAAATAAAAATAAAAAAGAGATTTGTTACTCTATAGAACTCCTTGAACCTGAAAGCTGTACACAGCAAAAATTACATAAACTTAAAAAATGCTTAAGTTCATAAAAGGTAAACAATCCATGTAGAGCTTTTGGATATGAGATGCCATCTCTGACTTGAAAACCCCCTGAGCTACAAGTCACTGAAAACAAGGAGATACACTCTGAGCATGTTGCCAGTTTCTTATATTTCTTCCCAAGTATGCGGTACTAGTGGCTATCTGAGCATAGTTATTTTTACAAAAATGACTGATATTTTTCTTAACAATAATATAAATTATAAGTTACTACAGAACCTCTCAGGCAGTTCAAAGATGACTGTAATTTAAATGCTCTGCTTTAAAAAAACACCTTCTATAAAAGTGCTTATAACAATCTACAACATAATAAACTACTGATAACTGTAAAATGTTCCTAATAATATAAATACTTGATTAGTCAATATGTCATATTGTCACAATTTGCCCTTGGTCTGGTAAGTTTTAAGGCTAGTGTCTGCAACCCAGGAAGTATAATATATAACATTTCTAATGCGGGCTGAAAAGACTGGATAGAAAAAAAACTACTCAGTTAATTCTGAGTGTATGTTTCACTGTTACACGTGTATAAACACTGTGTTTAACAGGGTTCCTTGTTTTTCTTTAGATAACTCTGAGCTGTAATCCTGCTGCAACTGACACATGGACGCATTTCTGTAGGCACCATCACGAATAGCTGCAAAACAGAAAACTTGCTCTAAAGTGTGCATAGACAGCTCTGCAGTTTACAGCATGAAACCAGCAATTTATTTATTTATTTATTTTAAATTTCCCATTGATAATTTTCAGAATTGCAAAAAACAGGGCTTTTTAACCTGAGATTTAAAGAGACTGAAAGATCTTTCCTTTTATTTCTTTAGATGGAGCTGAAGTTCATGCTACAGAATAATAAATACACTTCTGTAAGTATTGCAAAAGTCCTTAAACTCTGTCTTGCATGAACTCAGCCTACTGATCTAGTCCTATGATGCAGAAAAGGTCAAGAGGGCAAGAAATGAAAGACTAAAAAAAAAAAAAAAATTGTTTCCCTGTTGCTTTGCATTTGTTTATATATCTGCAGGGAGATTAGCTTAACTGAAAGCACCTATACAGAACATTAACCTTTTCCTGAATACTGTCAGTGACATTCAGTGTGTAATTTTGTGATATATGCCCTCCATTTTTAACAGTTATCAGCTGTTGAACTTCAGGCATTGTTATCTGATGTGCTTTTTCTTTCAGGCTTTGATCCTGCAAACATGAAAATATATGACAAAGAAATCTCATTGGATGCAAATGAAGAAAAATAATTTTATCATATAATATTTGTTTCTAACATACCCCTAAAAAGGTTGAACAAACATTCATAACTTATGAATGATTTAAGACAGTTTCCTGCAAAATTAACAAATGAACAATACTTTCTCATTCAACGTTTCTTAGCTGCAAAGTAAATTGGCAGAGGATAACAGACACTTGCTTTATGAGGACACTGCCCTTTGATAACTGAGCAGAGCACAGAAGCAGCAGAAACTCTGTAAACACTGATAAAACAGAACCCTATTGCAATCAGAGTGGTATCCTAAATGAACAGCTGTAACAACTAACACCATTGCACTTGACCTCACTCAGTATCCTTTTTATGAGGCAATGCTATAAACAACTATCACACAAATGGTTCTTTCCACAGAAAGCAAACAATGTAGAAATGAGATACACATGAACAAAGTGATGAACAGGGGAGTAATTACTGGAGACTAGAACACAATGTTAACACTACAAACCAGCTGAGCAGATTATAGACACCAGCATGGACTATTACTGCACGCTCAACTTTTCTTCACAGAAAGCATATACGTCTTCAGAAACATTCTGCTCTGTCTTTACAGATGCACTGTGTTTATTACAAATCTTACTCAAATGACAACACATTGATCAACAGGAAAGATTTACTTTCCTCGGTTGTCAATAACTGTACTCCTGTGGTTCTTCAATCATCATTTTCAATGAAAAGCTGACTATAAAGCTTCTCTGTGTTTTGGGGCAATTCTTCAGGTGTGATCTAAATGCAGTAATAAGAAATAATTAATTATATAGCATCCTACTTACGTGAGCATTAGAACTAGTAAAACTGTTTATTGATTTCAGCTTCATTTTGTCTTCTACTCTGAACAGGGAATAAAACAAACAACTGGATCCCACCAGTTGTGGTAGGCCAAAGTTTTGGGGAAAAAAAAAAGTCTTACAAAAAGTCTTTACACACACACAGAAACACACAAAGTACTTTTTAACTGCAGTTTAGTGTATGGAATCCCACTGAATAAGTCTTGGAGGGGCACTGGCACTGCTGATTGCAATTACACTTCAGTACCTTATTTAGGAGATTTCCCTCCCACTCCCATACAATAACTGAAGTCTGTCTTCTGTGGAAGTGGTGGCATCACTGTCCCTGGGGATGTTCAAGGAAAGTTTGGACGTGGTGCTTAGGGACATGGTTTAGTGGGTGACATTGGTGGTATGGTGATGGTTGGACCTGATGGTCTTGAACGTCTTTTTTACCCTTAATGATTCTGTAAAGCTCAGAAGGTGGTTATCAGTGGTGTAAAGTCTAGTTGGATGCCAGGAAACAGTGGCATACCCCAGTTGTCAATAAAGCATCCAGTCCTGTTTAACATCTCCATTTAATGATCTGGTTGGCAGGGCAGAGTGTACCCTCAGCAAGTTTGCAGATGACACAAAACTGGGAGGAGTGGCTGATGTGCCAGCGGGTTGTGCTGCTATCCAGAGAGACCTGGATAGGGTCGAGAAATGGGCAGACAGGAACCTCACAAAGTTTAACAAGGAGAAGTGCAAAGCCCTGCTCCTGGGAAGGAACAGCCCCAGGCACCAGTACATGCTGGGGGCCACGCTGCAGGTAAGTAGCCTGGCAGACAAAGGGCCAGGATGTCCTGTGGACACCAAGTTGAACATGAGCCAGCAATGTGCCCTTGCTGCAAAGAAGGCTAATGGTATCCTCCTTGGAGATACTTGAAAACTGTCTGGATGTGGTCTTGGGCAACCAGATGTCGGTGGCCCTGAGCAGGGAGGTTGAACCAGATCATCTCCAGAGGTCCCTTCCAACTTCAAACATTCTGTGAAAACTAATCTCATTACCTTCCTTTGCATCCATTTGTTCTTAATAAATTTCCCCTCTCCTTCCCGAAAATATAATGCGTAAATCTGAAGAGGAAAGCTAGGGTAGGGGGAGTCTTTCAGAAGAAGGAGGTGGTCATATGTCTTACAGTCATCTGTTTCCTTACAGCGCACTTCTGAAGTGGCTGAAACTCTTCATACTGGTGGCACATGCCCAGCAGGCTGCTCTACTAGTCAGGGGCCAATGATTTTTACTACACAGACACAGTTTTACAGCCAATATCAGTACAAGGAAACATAGCTACAAGAGCCTGCACAGGTGCTGTTTCACTGAAGACAGAGTGAAAATTAATACTCTATGGGGAAAAAAAAAAAAAAAAAGGTAGTCAGAAGCAACAAATTCTAAGAGTTTCTCAACCCACCATAATTTCTTTACAATCCTCTCTTCCTCGTTGAGGTATTTCTGCCTTTCTTGTTCCACCAGGTTGCGCTGTCGCTGCACAGGATCTTCAAGCCTCTTCACTGTTTCAATCATTTTGCCATTGATTTCCAGCTCTGCTTTCTTCACCATTGCCCTCAGCATCTCCTGGTTCTGCAGCTGTTGCACAAAAGAAATCAACTTCAATTTTTCCCGTTTGACTGACATCCCTGGCAACAGAATACATTGCAGAGCTCAGAAATAAGTTGGGATAAACAGCCCCACAGCTAGAGAGACTTTTTACCTTCTTCCTTCCCTCTTTAACTTTACCTATAGACACTATTCCATGAGAAAGCATTGGAGATGAGAAAAGCCCACATTTGTTTAACTTTTAATGTGTATACTTAACTTCCCATTGTCAGCTGATGGACAAAAGATGTTGGGTTCAATACATCACTTTCAGTGCATAACTTCTGCAGAGGTTGTAGCCCCTGTATAATGCTCAGCCCAGCATAAATCAAGTATTAATCATGCCTCATGAGAATGCCAGAAGCCTGACTTCCACTTTGCACATCTCTCTTATTTTTGTCACTATATTGCCCATACATGCCTAGTGGATAATTGTACATATTAATGTCAGCTGGAGCATACCATTACCCTCAGAATGGAATATTTCAGTCTCTCGAGTGGCAGAGGAAGGATTGTGCCATCCAGTGTGATGTGGTTACAGACACACTCATCTGTGATATAAAACACCCCCCCTCATCCACCCAAACCACCTTTTAAAATACGGTAACTTTCCAGAAAGTGGCCATGTAAAATTCACACTTTCTCAAGAGATCTACTATTTGTGCATTCTTAGCCTCATGTTAATTACCTGAAGTGTATATTAAGTTTGCAGAACAAAACACAGTTAAGAAAACAAGTTCACATGAAGTGACCAGTGGGGCTCCATCTAGTCACAACTTCAGGATATAGGCAGAAAGAACGCAACTCTGTCAGCCGAGCAGCATCTCATACCGTAAGATTTTCTAAAACACCTTGGGAAACTCAGTTCCATTTTTAGAACTAGCAATCAAACCTTCAACTGTCTCCTAAACATCCAGGCTTAACAGCCAAACTGCTTTCAACATGAGTGAAAACACTGCCTAATAAGAAGAATCACAAAAATGGCTTACATACAAGACAGCGTAAGGCAACAAGACTTCTTTTGAAGTTGATTTAAGAGAATTTCTGGGAATCAAAGAAAAAAAAAAAAAAAAAAGCCTTTGCCAGGTTGTTCGTACCCAATCAGTACAGGAATTAGAGGAACAAACTCAAATCTCTCCTCCTGACGGTTCAGAAATTGTGCCTGACTCTGCTGCCAATGACACAACTCTCCAGTGACACAGCTGTGATGAGAGGGAGGGTAACACTTCACTGAAAGTGTTCAGGGGGGTCTCGGCTGTGACAAGCAGGAGGTGTTAGCTCAAAACTCAGCTCAACAGAAGTGTAAGCAGTGAGGGAAAAAAATGAAGCTGGAAAACATTTGAAACAGCACAGATTTATAAACATCGTCAGCTGCTTTATACCAGACTGGATCCTTCAGAAGACAGTGCATATGTGTATTTTTCCCCACTATGGGATTAATGTTTGGATTTGATAAATTAAAATCTCTGACAGTGAGACCAGCACAGCTGAGACACATGTCTCTTTCATTGTGGCAAGAAGGGAAACATAAATGAATGAATAAAATGAGGGAATGAGCATGTACCACTTCAGTCATATATTTTATTCACAGCTCTTTAACGAGCGGGGAAATTTGAAAAAGGGAAGTGACTTGGAAAATGTGAAATTACTTATCTGAGGTCAGGAAGAAGGGCCAGCATGACTTAAGTCTCAGGTGTTTTTCAGTCCTCTGTGTTCCTCAGCTGTGTGACTCCCAGCATGCCAAAATGGGGTTTGTCTGCTTTTATGTGCATGTGTGTGTACAACGGCAAAGGCGCTGGTTTATTATGAGGGTATACGTTTATTATACTGACATCCACAGCTAAGGTGCTTGAACAGCGTTAGAAAATTTCAGTTTTAAAAGTTCAACCATATCTGATAACAAGATTAGGGAATAAAATATAAATAATAAATATTTCAAAAAGATACTATGTTTAGGACTCCCTAGCCTCAGTGCTTGGAGTGAGCTCTTGAAGTTTGGGAACGACTCATGTTGGTATCAAAGAGATATTTTTACCATTTTTATGAAAGTTCACCCAACACCTAGCTAGTTCTGGCAAAACTAGGTTTCTTCATATTAGGAGAACCGGGACAGAAGGTGAGGAGGGAGAGGTACAGATGGGTGCGGGGAGAGGAAAGAAGGAACCAAGGGGAACCAGTAACCAAGGGTTTAAGCAGGGCAGAGTCACCAGCCAGAGGACAACATAAGGCAAAGTGAGCAGGAGCAGAGGGATAGAGCTGTGTGTGAGGAGAGGAGGCAGTCTTGGGCCACCTACAGCATATTTCCCTCCACACTCTGGAACTGAACTTGATTCTTGAACTCGATCAGATCTGAGACTCCCTCAGTGCACACCCCTTGTGTCCCTCAGACCACCTCTGCCAGTTACTCCATTGCTTCAAGTGGAAGACATTTTATGGATCTGCCAGAGTTATTCTGGTTCATGAGAGCACAACTTTTTGTAATTCACATTTGCTTGGAAACAAGACAAATCTAGATACTCTTTGTTAAAACACTGTTCAAGTTTCAAAGTCAAATGCAAGTCTAGGTAAGGAAATGCAATGCAGGTTTTCCTCTCACCACCAAACAAAAATCTCTTGCTAATTAATGTGGCTTATAAGTGCAAGCAGAAAATAAAATAATAATAATATGCTTTTTAGAGCTCTAGCAACTTCTCCTATATTTATTACCCCTGTCTCACTCCCAGCATCACCGGTCTTCTCAGACCCCTACATTGTCCCTCTTCTCCCGCAGCTGCTCCAGCCATTATCTGTCCCTGCTCTCTCACAAGTACCCCAGCACTGCCTCTGGCACCCACTTTGGAAACAACCTGATAACCAGTCTAGTTCACTTTAAACTAATTATTATTTGTGATATGGGTAACTGGAAAACCAGCTATCAGTTCATAGCCCTGCTCCTCACTAGGAGACAAGCATGTCCTGTCTAGCAGGAGCATCCCAGACCGTGATGGGAGAGGCTTCTGGGCCACCCAGTTCCCCACATGCCACTGTGCAAACCCACCACCAGGGACTGCCTGCCTGCAGCTCAGGATCTCTGCAGAATCTAATTATCTAATTCCTAATGTTTGTTACCATACATAGATTAAATCTCGTCTCACCAATTCTATAATGCAGTTCAGAATATAATTGAATTTCTAATTCAAAGTTACACTTGTGAGACTATTTGAGTATCATGTACCATTTATGACAGTATTATTATTGCATTTTCTATCCTTTCGGCGGCACTCATTTTCCTGCAAGTAATAAATTTACTGAGGGAAAAGCTTGCATGCATACACATATCTAAAGCTGAACCTTAATCAGATCTAACTGCTTCCCCTTAAAACGTGTTCAGTTAAAGAAAGGCAGGAACAGACAAAAAGTTTCGATGTACAAATAAGCTAAAGATAATACACCATGATTACATGGTATAAGGTTTGTTTTCAAACCTGCCACTATGGGAGTGCAGAGTGAACTACCCCACTGTACTCATCACATGCTCCAGTCTGACCAGCAACAAAACCATCCAGAACACAGGCTGAGTTATGGCCTATCTCTGGCAATGAGGAAAACCCCATGGTACCATGAAACTAGACTTCCTTGAACATCTCTGAAAATCGGAGCTTTTAAGGAAGATGGGAGAGGGCTGGCAAGAAGGGTATCTAACCTCTTACAACATCCATGATGCAAATGTCTTTATTTCAAGAATCTCTGGTTAAAATCCAACCATGGAGTAAAACAGACTGGCCTTTTGGTTGCATCTGCTAACATGTACATTTAACTGGTGTGTGAATCAATTCATCTGGATGGATTCCTGCTGGATACATTTTAAAAAGAGGATTTTGCCAGAACAGACAAAGCCTACATGAATGAATGGGTCTTTTCCATCATGTGTTTCTCTGGTTCTATAAAACAAATGAGTAAAAATTTACAGTGATATCATCAATTCAAAATTGAACCACAGACAATATTAAATATAGTTTTATGTCCTGTTCTTGTTACTTGGTTATCCTGCCAAGTTCTGTGCCTGTGCAATCATCTTTTTCAGTTCTTTGGAAGTGTTTCTTTTAGTCTGTCACCATAAGAAAAATTCACACAAACAGGAACAAACTGACTGACGATCCAGGAGAAACAGAGAAACTGAACAATATGAAGTACTGTCAGACATACTATGCACACAACCTGGAAAAACAGAAAAATACATTTCCCTTTTACTTAGAATTATTTTACAAAAAATGCAGCACTTTTTTTTTTTTACCATCAGAAGTGTGATGTTTCGACATTCTTTAGCTTAAAACAGTACTTATTAACACTACTACCACTTTCTGCCTTACAAGCTGTGAACTCTTTTTCAGAATGCTCCCACCCATTCAGGAAAGTCCTGACATTAAACGCACTCTCATACTTGGGTGTATATATATGTAACACCCAAGTTTCCCTTAAGCTACGGGTTCTTCCATCCAACTCTCACAAATCTGCCCATGTCATACTGGCACAATGCTATCATGTATTTGCTATCATTTCTGAAATACGGGAAGTTAGCCAGATTTAATGAGCCCACTCTGGATAGCTCCTCTTTTTTCTTCTCAAGACTTCCTTGGCAGCGATGATTTGCGCAGATGGTACAAGTTTCTTCACTCCCGTGTGCCCTAATGCTGTATCTGATCAAAAGCAAGGATCCTGCTCCGGGCAGGGCTGTGGAGACAAGCTGCAGCTGGGGAAATGCTACCTCCTTGGCAAGCAGGCCCTGTGAGAAAGATACATTCACCGCCTCCAGCGCTGCACTTGCAACCTCCATCCCATTTTGCAAGGCCACATACTAAGCACAGCTGGTGGCCAGATCGCAGGGGTTTGCCAAGAGCTGCATTTGGCACACGGGGTTACAGAAGGACAGAAGGGCTGCAGCAGCTTGCAGCACAAACATGCAAGAATACCCACTTATATATAATGTGCCAGGGCAGAGACCCTACGGCAATCAGTTTTACTGAACAGTAAAAGCATGGGTGCTGTTATCACATGCAGAGGTCACCTGCTTGACACAGCTGTTTGCTCCAAACACCTTCTACCACCTCTGTGATACTAGCAAACTGAGCACAGGACCTTGTCATAGCACCTTCAGCCTCAGCCACGTTTTTCTTTTACTTTTCCACTAAAGGGAATTGAATTATGAACCCAAAATGTGGTCTAAATTCTGATTTGTATTATCTTTATACTATTCTAAAATTAATCAGCAAATCAAAGGAGATTAACACAGTGCTGTTCTAATATTCAAAACCTCCCTGGCACTAACAGCAGTAGCTGCAGCCCTACAATACCATACACACCATGTCTCTTTCCAGATAAGGAGGACTGGAAGAGTCCTGACGTTTTCCATGCTGTCCACTTTGTCTTACAATAAATTGCTTTACCTCTTCTTACATCTTCTAAGGCAATATACACAGTGCTTTCCGGTTTCCAATTAATTGAAGGGCTGAAGATTTTACAGCTGCATACACTTACTTTCATGGTGTCTGAGATGAGCAGTGTATATTTACATTGGTAACCTGACTGTGTATGTCAACAGAACATTTTGCTTAACTCTTCATTGTTCTTATTGTTTTTTGCAGGTTCTGAGCTGTTGATGTGTGTTAAGAAGGTGCTGGTAAAGTGAGAACGTAAGTTGGGTGCAACAAACCTTTGCAGTAACTTTTGAAATCATCCTTCCCCCTTGCTGCTCAAGCTGGCTATTCTTTTGGATTCTGTAAATACAGGCCTCAAACACTGGCTTAATGTATATCTACTGATCCTCAGCTACATTTCAGTTTCCTTATATCAAAGTTGTTTATTCAGGAACTTAAAAACTGTCTCAACTATAAACAGTATGGAGCAGGAACATGGCTCTTCCAACATGTTTATACAGCACATAGCATAGCAGGGTCCAAACTAATCACAGACTTGATATTACTGTAACATAAATACTGCTTTAATGTCTATAGACATCCAACTAAGCTAGAAATTAAATTATTTCTCCATATCTGAGCAGCAGTAGTTAAATTGAGCTAATTCTCATATCTCTAGGATGATGCAAGTGGCATGTGCTAGAGCAGTGTATGCTTTTGTATGTATTGTAATTGGGTCTCTCCTTTTCTGTATAACTCTGCTACTTAGAATCACGTACAAAAGGTGAGAGGGAGGGAGGGAGAGGGAGAGAGAAAGAGAGGGAGAAAGAAGGAGAACATTTCCTGACAACCCGATTTCCCACTATTTCTCAGGTAAGCGTACCTGTAGTTGCTTCATCTGATGCAGCTGCAGCCGCAGATCTGACACGTTGCGTTTCATACCATGCAGGCTTACTTGCATCGATGAGGCTCCAGCAGGGTGATGGATGACGGCTGGCTCCACTGTTGCCACTGTGTTCTTCCCCCCAGATAAGTTAGCAGCACCTGCAAGTAAACAGCAGCACAGGTTGAGCTCCCCAGCAGAGAAGGTGCAAACATGGTCCTTCCTCTGCACACCGAATTCACATGCACTTCACACAGATGCACATGAAAATAAAATTACAGTTGCCAGTGCTCAGGGCAGTGGCATCTCCCCTTCCGATGTAATTGGAGAGACTGTACAGTATCAGAGTGTGTCTGTGCTGGAACCTCAGCCATATCAGAGCACTGCCTTACCACAAGACTGCTTCCTACCACATGTAGTGGAGATAGGAAAATTAGCTATAACTGCACGTTACACAAAACAGCAGCAAATCAAATCGGTGCTGAAAGTAGCTTTGGGATCGCCTTCTCAGGAGCCATCTGGGAGCAAGTTGATTCAAATTCACAGGACTCCTGAACTGCATATGTGTTGATTAATTCAGTCAAACTGCCAAGTCTGGGGGAAAGGTTTCTACAGAGAATCTTACTTTGCTGCTTAAAGTATGATTGCGTTATTTCTATCAGCTGTGTCCAACAGCTACGGTATTAAATCAAGAGAAGAGAAATGAAATAATGGTCATTTATTTAGGACTGTTTACAAGGGAGTACAACATAAAACAAGTAAGTGAGCTGAGTCATCACAAGACTTTCTTCATTAAGTAATGCTGTTCTTCCACGCAGCATCAATATTAAGGTTGTTCTTTTCAGTCTCAAGTACCTGGGAAAAAGCTTTATTTACAGAGTACAATCAAATCCCAGTTCATCAGCTAGTAGGCATATTACATCTGTCTTCTGGCATTCACACTTAAACACCCATATTCTTCAAACTGTCTTTTTAATGCATCCTTTCCCCTTCCCTTCGCCAACAGCAAAATGACAGGAGGATGAACTCCAGTTTCTAAGTCCAGCTCTGTGTAGCCCTGCACAGCTTTCTGATCAGTGTCAGATCTGCCTTGTCCCTCAAGCTCAGATGACAGTGTGGCTGCAGCTTCCCAAACTACTGCACTGTGTCATCCCCCTATCACTTATTTCCTTCTCTATGAGATTAAAACCAAACATCCGAGGAAACAAAATAACTGATCAATGGGTTTATGTGCACAAGGACTTTGGTCATCCTCTGTTCCCACAGGCACTCATCCTACCGAGTTCAATTAAATCAACCCAAATATAGCATTGCAATATTTTTTATTTTTTATTTTTATTTTTTTATTTATTTTTATTTTTGTTTGTAAATTTTTTTTTTGAAGTAAATTTTCAGTACACTACAGAGAATGACACATCACGTCTGTCTGGAATGAGTATGAACCCAAGAGTGGTAGGTTTTATCTCCACGCACTCATCCCTAGTAGTCTAGTCATCTAGTAAAGTCTCCAAACACGCCCAAGTGAGTACAGCTCAGCAGAACAACAAACGGTTATTCCGTTGCCAACAGGTGTGGATTTCTCAAACATAACTTTTGCAAAATTCATCCACGAGGAAGCCTTTTTAAAGGAAGGAATTTATGCCAAGCTGTTTTTATTTTAAAACAGGCTAAAAGGTTTCTGAAGAATTGTGTTTCCTGCTGTACCTACATTTGCAGTTCCCTTCCGTAAAAGCACGTGTCCCTTGGGCTGCACCCATGTTGTACACGGTGTGACGTGCTGCAGGTCTTGGGAGACATGCTCAAACAAAAAGCTGTTCTAGCCTCTTCTAATGCATGCTACCCAAATGAGCTTCTGCAAGATCTGCTAGATCTGCTTGGTGCTTCTACAACAGCACTCTTCAGTTCAGTGCTGAGCAAGCTGTTGCACATTTTTGCCATGCTCCAGTATGATTCGGTGCTCTTTTGGCTGTCAAAGAACTGCTTAAAAGAAAGCAACACTCAAGAAATAAACAGTCCTTGTTCACTGCCATTCTGTACCTGCTCCACGCTTCAGCCTAATCTATGCCAATAATTGTGTCTACATGTATGCTGCATTTTTTCCTACAAAGCATGTATCTCTCTCCCACATGCACTATTTTTTTTTTTTTTTAAGAAAAGGGTATTCAGTTCATAAACCCTACAGACAGAAACCACCAGAGAGTCTGAAAAATGTGGATAAGCCTCCAAGAGTTCTGATCCCTAGCCACAAATCTGGACTATTTTTGAAAGCACATCTACCTTTCTGCTATTCTTTGCCTCAAGCAAAAGCTCCAAAACCTCAGCCCCCAACTCTGTGGTTATGCAGCCAAGGCATGAATCAGTCCCCTCCAGTCTCTCCCCACATGTTGGACACCAGTCAATTTGCATATTTTCAGAGGATGGGGTGCCTGCTTTCCTTTTAGTGTAGATGGACTGTGATCTGCTTCTGTAAACAATAAATGTGTCCTACTCCCTGCAAATCAGTCCTCCTCCTCCTCTGCTACCCCAGCCACCTCTTCTACATATGCTACCATGAAGCTTCTGCTGCAGGCAGTGCTCAGAGCCTACGAAGCACGAAGGGACTCCTAAGGGGATGAAACACAACCACACTCACCCAGCGAGCATGGGAGCACAGTGAGGATCACCAGCTGATTTCTCAGAGATTCATATTTTCATCAAAAAGGAATAAAAGGGCAGCTGAATGAGGGACTGCTTCGTCTAGGGAGTATAGCTCTCATTTGGAAGCAGGCCCAGGCTGTAGCTTTGAGATTAGATGTAGAGCCAGATGGATTGAAGGGAAAGAAACAGTGTTGGCTTGCATAGCTTTTAAAATAAACCCTTGTTGGAGCTAGGTAAGGGATCCTGAGGAAAAAAAAATACCGCAGTGCAAAAGGGAAAGGCTGGGTACTTGCCCAGGCTCAAGAAGGCAAGGAGCTGGACTGCCACTCCCTGACACCTGACCTTTGCAATCATGCAAAGACACCGCTCTCCTTCCATTTTCCAGAATTTAGTTTTCTTTCTAAAATGCAAAGATTTTCATAGAATCATAGAATCATAGAATATCCTGAGTTGGAAGGGACCCTTAAGGATCATCAAGTCCAACTCTTGACACCGCACAGGTCTACCCAAAAGTTCAGACCATGTGACTAAGCGCACAGTCCAATCTCTTCTTAAATTCAGTCAGGCTCGGTGCAGTGACCACTTCCCTGGGGAGCCTGTTCCAGTGTGCAACCACCCTCTCTGTGAAGAACCCCCTCCTGATGTCAAGCCTAAATTTCCCCTGCCTCAGCTTAACCCCGTTCCCGCGGGTCCTGTCACTGGTGTTAATGGAGAAAAGGTCTCCTGCCTCTCGACACCCCCTTACGAGGAAGTTGTAGACTGTGATGAGGTCTGTGATTTTGTTTTGAAGCAGGCTATAAAAAAAAAAAGACCATCAGAAGACATCAAGAAGTGTTTCTTCCCAAATCATTCATATTCTTATCAAAGAGCCACATTTTAAAATATCATGGGGGAGACGTGGCAGTTACTCAGTCCTCTTATCAGCTGGTTGGAATCCACTAAACAAACAGACAAACGCAATGTTAAGGTTGCAACTCCATCATTAACAAGCTGTTATGGTCAGACACCACAGCGTCCTTACAAGAACAGGATGTTCTACAGATATTGGTGTGCAACTTCACCTTGGTGATCCAGAATTAATTCAGGATCATGCTATACTTGCAAACACTGACCAAGTTCAAAGACTAGCATGATCTATCTTTGAATATGAGGTAAGCAAGCAGATATGGACAACTGTTTAAATTCACAGATCATTACAAGAGTGTGCGAAAACAGCACACAGATGTGCACAGAAGACAAGAACTTCTCTGGCAAGCACAGGTCACAAAGGGTGGGGAATCAAATTTGAGCACTACACGTGTAACACTTCTCCCTTCTCTATCTCCCTCTCTTGATTTGTACTGGAGATGTCAGCGCAGAAAGACTCCTTGAACCCTTTTCAGAATAAACTAAAATCTCCTTCCTCCTCTTCCACCAAGGCAGCAAATGGCAAATTGGTTTTGTGTGTTTTGCTTTGCAATCCAGGATGTAATTGATCCAGAATTTAATCTATCTATCATTCTTACCACTTGATGAACAAAATATGACCAAAAAGAGAGTAGATGAGCATTACCTAGCATATTTGTTAGTTATCTCATGAACAATCTTTCTAGTAACTTTTTTTGTTGGTTGTTTTTTTTTTGAATCATGTGCTATCAGGCTGTTCCTAAATGAAGAGTCCCTAGATACCATTCACTTTTGATGAACTGAAAGAGGTTATAAGGATTCAGTCATTGGATTTATCCTAGCGTGAACAGGAGATACATAGCTCAACTATGGAATGTTACTGCTCTTTGAACCCAGCTCCCATGAAAAAATGAGCCTAAAGCAACAAAACATAAGAAATGCAGACAGCAGGGTCACTGTCACAGGCTTATTTTCCCCAGTGAAAAAGCATTTTTGTTTAGGTTCTAGTATTTGAGGCTAAAGAATCTGCTACAGACTGGCAAAGCAAAAACATGTTAAACACAACTACTTGATTTATACAAAATACCAAATGGAGTATTCACAACCTAGATATACAGAACTACCTAGGATTTAGAAAATTTGGTTTCTTTTCCTTCCCAAGTGAGCTAGTTCTCTATTTTTTGCATGAATGTCTCCCATCACTAGAAAGCATGCTACAAAATACAATGTTGGTTCAACATTGATGAGTCAATTTCATACTGCACAGATGTTTTATTGTTCAGGATAGGAAGCAATTCACGTTTCTGCTTACCACTGCTCTAGAAAGGACTGCTCAATCAACATTTTATACCACTTTTCCTTTCAAATAGTCTTTGAAATTGCTAAAACTGGTATCTCAGTGTGCAGTTGTCAAGTGGAATTGTATACTTTGAGAGCTGACTGTCTAATGGCTGTACTTAATAAAGATTGGGGTGAACTGGAGAGCAAAACAGAGGTTTGCAAAAGTGTTTCTGGATGCTGCAAGCATGCTTAAACCCAAGCATATTTACTCGAAGGAGAAACATTATGTAGCACATTTTGCATATTCTGACAGATTGTTGATGTCTTTCAGGTAAGCAGAGACTTATTAGACCTCGTTATGTGTAATTTCAAAAGCAGATGCAAAAGCAGACTATTCTATTATATAGGAAGGCAGTCCTCAGTATCAGCTGATATGGGTGACAATACTGAAGCAGTAGCATATTGTGGTCAGCATCACACCTTGTTTCCCCTTACCTGCTATAGTTCAATTTTCTGATTTTTCTGTGGCTGTGTCATGCTGGAAGGACAGGATTTAGGGATGCAGATGCTGGAGTTACAACAATACAGTGCTGATAGGGATCCTTCCAGTTGCATGGCCACATGACTGGCTGCACGGCCAGCCCCACTGCCCTGTCTATCTCCCCAGGTGATCAGAAGTGCACCTATTGCACAACCTGAACTGTGGTATCTCACATGATGGGTATGACACAGTTGTGTGACAGAGACATTATCTCTGACAGTACCTGACAGATACTGATCTGGTCTTTTGTCAGTAAATTAAACTCGCCACTCCTGCCCCCCATGATGGGGCATTCATCTATTATATGTAATTTTGTCATCTCAGGGACACACTTTCAGTCATACAACAAAGTAGTGAGTGAAAAGTGTTTGGGAATGACAGCACGAACTGGCTACTGGTCATAAGAATCATGCTGTTCTGTTGGGCTGGGTATGACCTACAGACTGAAGAATCCCCATCCTTGCTTTGTGTGGGGCAGTTTTTCCAGTGAATATTATTTAATTTCTCATTTGTTGGAAGTGTATTCATTCACATATGCATACACAAATAATTTAAGTTGAAAGGGAACCTCTAGAGGCCATCTGGTCCAATCTCCCATTCAAAGCAGGGCCTGCTTAGATCAGGACTTCCAACTTAGTGCCCCCTGCCAAGTGTTTATCTGAATTAGAACAAGCACAGGAGAATTGAAAGGCCTAACAGCCACACAATGCAAAGAGGAAAACAAGGCAAGGTATGTGCACGTCGTTTGTTTTATGGGTTCTTTGTATGATACAAAACCTATGCAAGTGGGAAATACTACAAATTCTTAGCATATAATGACAATAAAATAGGGAAAAGTCTAAGAGCATTTTGCAGCTGTTTTGAAAAATGATGGCTTTTTTCAATGAGTTGCCTGAAACTGATAAATTACAGCTTATTTCTTCACAGCCTGAAGTATTGCTCTCCCCATCCAGGGGCCAGCAGGAAGGGAAGAGTTGGAACAGGACCAGAGAATGGCTTAGGAGCAGAGTTCCAGCACCAGGACATTAGTTTGCTCTCTCTTGCACATGCTTGATAGTTTCCAGGTCCGGTTTGACTTCTGTTGGTTAGGAGGATGTACTGCAATTCCAGATAAACAGGAATCCTGAACGTGAACTAACAGCTCCAGCAGAAAGGCTAGTTAAGAGCATAATAGAATTGCTAATAAATGTGTGTGGTTTACTACCTGCCAGAGCACAGACCACCCTGTGGGAACAACATTACCAGGAAGTAGGGAACTGCCTTTATTTGCATTCAGTGCATGACAAAAGGTGAAGAGGAGGCATATAAACACACCCACCCACCCTGCAGACATCTAGAGCAGCAGCCCATACACAAAGAGCTCCAATCACATGGAGATCTACTTTCACAACAGCCTTAAGTGTATCTTTTAAACACTTAGCAGCTCTCTGAGTAGGAAGCTAAGGTAAGACCAGCTCATGTTGGCTTCATCACAGTTGATGCTTGCTCAGAACAGTTTAGGAGCATGCTAATAATTAGTAACAGATCAATATGGCTTAAATAGGGAAAGTGCTATCTTGCCGACTGCTAAATTCCTTAGTGACATCAAACCCATAGCAATCTACTGGCAAGATAACCTTAGAGAAAAGTTCAGGTGTCCAGAATAGGAATGAAATATTTAGCCTTCTACAGCATTTCAGATACACCTGGGGTTAGTACTGACAGATATATACTATAGGTGGGATGAATCACTGCAAAATTCACCATATGCAGAAACTCTGTATCTCATTTAAACCATTCAGTGCAGGTGTGAAATTCATTCCACCTCAACCTGTCAGAAATTCCTTTCTTAACAAAGACATGACTGAATCCCATATCCTTAACTTAAACTTCACTTCTGACACTTCAGCTGTGGAAAGTAAAGTTGCCATTTCCATAAACTGGGATGCTAGTAAAGTTTGAGTTATTTATATACTAGAAGAAGTTGTAAATTTAAAATAAATTATCTTACCTGTAGCGTCAATGCTGTTCTTGGTGGACACAATTTTCAACATCATCTTCTCACTAAGCAATAAAAAGAAAAATCATAAATTTAACTTACTAACAATAAAACTGTGGTGAAGTTTATCATCAGTAAATTTAATGGCCTTGTTTAGCATATATATTTTTAATCTAAATCACCAGTAGCTTGTGAATTGCTTTTTTTAAAAATCAATTTTTAATAGAAGTTAAGCAAGGAATGGGGCATAAGCAGCAGAAAGCACAGAGATGTAGCTACATTAATTCTTTTTTAACACAAAGAAGAGTAATGCAGTTAATCTCCATTTATTCTTTGGCATATTCTTCCTCTCTGCCTAGCATTCTCATGGGGATGATAAAGATACTGTAAAATGATTGATCATTCAGGTTTTTTTTACTGTTACATTAAAATACTATTTTTGTTGATTGATTACTAAAATCATTAGAGAGAAACAGATTTAATGAATTCTTTTTTTACCTAGAAGCATCTTTGCTATTACTTGTATTTGGCCCTTTAAAAAGCGCAGACTGAACAAGACCAGTTAAACTGGCAATCTGTTTCTCCATGGCTTGTATCCTCTCTCTGTAAGACAAGAGAACCGTTTGTTAAAGCCAGATATATTTGCTTTCAGACTTGTTTTTCTAGGTGAATGATTACCACAGGGTTGGAAAGACACTACAGAGTTGTGCAAAGGCTCATTGGTATCAGTTTGCATATACCTTGTTACAGCAGCTTACCGCATCTTGGGTTGGACAGCTTTTGCATGGCAACAGACAATAAAAAAGACATCTGCATAGTTAAAAAACAGAACAGCAACCCAGATAATAAAATTCTAGTGACTGCACAAAAAAGGCATCTAAAACAATCAGTTAATGCCTCTTGGAACTAATGAAAATCATTTTTTTAGCATTACTTTTTTTTTTTCCTCTCTCTCTCTTACCTTCACTGGGCCAATAGTTTTGCCTGTGTACAAGGTTTCAGGATTAAAAACTTTAGACTTCTTCTCATTACTATTTTCAGCTTCCCCCAACCAGTATTTTTGTCTGTGAAGCATTTAATCTGCACAAGCTGACGATTTCCCAGACCAAATCCCCTGCACCTGACATTGCAACTGTCTGCTCTGGAAAGGACAGCAGCGTGACAGACCAGGCACAAAACACCAAGCACAGACTGTGCAGCGCAATGGTATTAAAACAGATTTGTTTTTGCATACACATCCTGAGAAATTCCTAACAAGCAGAATTAAATAGAGGAAGAAGAACTGTAATAGGTACAACATTCAGAGTTTTCCATGGGGTACCAAAGGCCACTAAGCAACAACAATGACATTTTTTGGATAGAAGGACTGATGCTTGTGTGTTCATCTTTGCCCATCATTTACACGAATGCATATATTGGTCAGGTACCTGGTGACTTCCTTGGCAGTAGGCTCCATAGCAGCCTTTTGCTCACACAGGTACCTACTTTCACATGCCAGTATGCCAGCAACACACCACAACGCAGACACATGTCAGCGTGGGACCTCAGCCAGGACTTTCTGAAAATGTGTCCTTCTATGCCAGCAGTTCAGTGACTGGGAAAACACACAAAGCAAACACTAACAGCGGGCTGTGATTTTGGAAGAGGTTGAGAACAAAACACCTCAGAAAGCAAGAAGACCAGCAGCAATGGCTCATGAATGAAGATGGGACAGACAGAGGCCACACGGTCAGAGGTGGCACGTTCAGCCCCAGATTCGACCTGCCACAGGGGCCACCCATCACCACTGTGGCATCCCAGGCACGTGGGAGCAGCTGAGCTCTGGCCACCCCCACCACTGTTTGCAGCTTGGTGGCCAAAGCAATACTGCCAATTAATAAGGTCATATAAATTCCAACGTACGTAGTGATACAAGTTAAAGGCAGGCTGAAATGATACAAAGCGAATAACCAGCTCAGCTCATTAGCCGGACAAGTTATCCAGGCTAATTATTTCATTCACACTTCATGAATGAAACAGTGGTTTTCTGGGATAGCACGCAGATACCATAGCTGGGAGAGACTCCAAGACACCCAGATGTCGAGAAAACAGGACAGCAAAGCAATTAATGAGATGCTAACAGACACAAGGAGGGAACAAGAGGATGCTCAGTCAGTCCCCAGCTAGCAGACGCGTTCTTACTGCGAGTGAATACAGCGTGCGCTCCTTACTTTTCTGTCTTCATGTTGAAAGGTATTTTGAGCGGTGGTGAGAAGACTAGTGAATCTGACCTAATTCATTTCAAACCAAGAAATATGTTACAGAATTTCCACTGTTACAAGTTTTAAAATAAGAAACCGGTTCAGGCTACAGTAACCTTTGGAACAAAAACAAGTACAAAAACCCTGGGATAAATATATTCTAACAAACTTCAATGCAACATTTTTGACACTTAATAATGAAAACAGTTTTTTTTCCCCCAGAAAATCATCACAAACCCTTCCTGGAACTAAACTCAATTGGAAGTCTATCTGCTTTACCAATTCATAAATATGATGTTTTTTCCATCCCACATTCGATAATCTGGAAACAATTTTCTGCTTCAAATGAGATTATGGCAACACAAAGCCGATCTTGTCCTTTGCCATGAAATCTAGGAAAATATGTTGTTAAGAGGGAGAGGGATGTTCCAGAGATAGGAGATGATGAAAAACGAATGAAACACTGGAATCAATTGCACAGAGCACATTACTTTTCATATGGTAAAAGCATTAAGAATGTGAAGAATCTACACATGCTCTGGAGTCGGTCTGTTAAACACAAGGCAGGATTTTTCCCCTAATCGTTTCACTGTAATACCCAGACTCATTACAGCCATTAGCACCAAACATTTCAAAAACAGGTGTCTGAAAGGAGGCGCCTTTCAGGCATTAAATAAAACAAGCCGATTTTCGGAGACATGGCAGTCTGACTGAAGGCAGCAGGAGGCAGGGGCAGGGAGGGATGCGGCTGGCCCAGCAGCGTAGCTGTGCTGGGCTGACGTGGCTGGAGGGCTGGTGGCATCCTGCTGCCTGCTACGTGGCCCTGGGGGAGCAATGACGGCTCCACAGCCACCCCAGCTCCCCTGTGAAGGGCTGGAGCCATCCTGGCTTCTGACACTGCTGTGGTCCAGCTGAGCCGGGGGCTTCAGAGGAAGAGAACAAGCCTTTACCTCAGCCTCTGCTGAGGGATGCTGGCACTGTGGTGACAGTCGGAGATTTTTGTTCCTCAACTTTATATTCTCTGCCTGCCAAGGTCCATGTGGATGGGGCAGGCTGGGGTTCCTGTGCTGTGGGGCAGGCTGCTGCCCCCATGGATGGGGCAGGCCAGTGTCCCTGTGGACAGGGCACGCTGGTATGTGGAGCACCAGGCTAGAGGGGCAGGCAGAAGAACCCTCTTTGCTGGTGCCTATTTGTTGGCTGGGAGTACACAGAGGATGAAGCCCAGCTCTGTTCCCAGATTAATTTCCCAGATAAATCCACATCTCTCCACCACCCAGGAAGAGCAGGGAGGGTCACTTCTACAAGCACTTAGGAAAGATATGCTTTTTATCGGCCTGGGCACCAAAGGGCATTGTTTCACATTGTTTTCCAGTGAATGCTGGGGGATCCAGACTTGGTGTGGTAGAGGAGGAAAGGAGGGGACAAGGTCAGAAGTAACTCCCAGCTCTAGCAAGCCTCTTGGTCAGACTTGGCTTCAGCTTGTGTCACACACAAACCTCTGCCAGCAAAGCAGGCATGAGGTCCTCGCCAGCCCTCTTCTTCCTGGCAGCCTGTTTCACAGCCCCAGGTACACCCAGGCACTTGAGCCCTGCCTCAGGATCTCACTCCCCAGATTCAGCAGAAGCAAAACAAGCTCTTGCCTCTCTGGCTCTGCACTGAGACATCAGGTTTCATCACAAGGTTTCTTCACTACAGCTTCACTATGGTTTCATGTCATTCCCTGCAGCTAACTGAAAGTAATCCTGAGCAGGGTAGAGTGTATTGCTAAATTGGTATCCACCATGATGCTATTTAAGCATGATTTTCATATTTCTTCCTTTTCCTGGGAACATCCTTATTATTCACATCACTGAGAAGATGCTTTGTATAGACACAAACTTGGACTGGGCCATGTAACCATTTGTTCATGTTCTTATCCTACCCTAGGCAGTGCAGTGATCATCCGTAACAGACATACTCACATACCGAGTCTGACACCACAAACTAATTAGCACACTGTCCTGGAGAAGGATTTACAGTGACTTCATATTTTATAGCTAAACAGTAAGTGAAATATGTGTAGTAATAAAAAGAAGGTCAGAGGCAGGGAAAAATACATTCTTTCTACATCACCCTATGAGAGAAACATTTAATTGGATTTTTTTTTTTTATCTCACTGAAAAAGAAAAGGAACAGGAGTAGGTTGTTTTTCCTCATGGCTTCCCTAGCACAAAGTGAAAGTGGCACAGTCAGACTTCATCCCAAATTCCTCCCCCCCAAACAGCAGAGTGGGTCTCCTGGAAGGGTGTGAAGCAGCAAACAGCAGAACTCTTCTGTATTCTGCTCTCTTCCCAAGGGAAAAATTATGCACAGATGAATATTTCAGTCTTCTACGAACATGGTTAAATTTAAACTTTCTGCAGCTTGAAGGTGGAGTGAAAATGTAGACTATGAAGTGCTGTCAGCTTTGATACTATCTGATAACTGATAGACGTATGAGGAGTGGATGAAGTCATTTGGACTGTTCAGCCCCGAGCAGAGCAGGCTGAGGAGAGGCCTCATGGCGGCCTGCAGCTCCCTCACGAGGGGAGCGGAGGGGCAGGTGCTGAGCTCTGCTCTCTGGGGACAGTGACAGGACCTGAGAGAATGGCATGGAGCTGGGACAGGGGAGGGTCAGGCTGGGTGTTAGGAAAAGGTTCTGCACCCAGAGGGTGGTCAGGCACTGGGGCAGGCTCCCCAGGGCAGTGGTCATGGCACTGGGCTGCTGGAGTTCAAGAAGCATTTGGACAGTGCTCTCAGACTTTTTGGATGGTCCTTTGGGTACCCAGGAGTTGTACTCAATGATCCTTGTGGGTCCCTTCCAATTCAGATATTCTATGATTCTATGCTTATCCAAAAGCCTGCATCTCATTTTTCCTAGAAATAGTTCCTCCAAAAGAAGGAAGCCAGATGGCAGTTTACCTTGCCTCCATACTGTTCAGCCATCCTTTTTACCCAGTTATTCCAGTTTTATCACAAAGGAGGATGCAATTCTGTCTCTCTGGAAAGTGATACTGCTTCCAACTGCCAACATATTTTCTGGGAGCTTCCAGATTGCAAACACCAGGCCATAGTTTGTAATGGGTGCAGCAAGCACACATTTCTGTGGTTATTTGCAGTCCTACAGAGCAATCACACCACTGCCTGCCTTTGGGAGAGGCAGTACACAGCACTGTCTGAGAGGGTGCATCTTTAACACCTATCTTTCTTGTCTCTCACTGTCCATGGCTTTACAGAGCAAGACTGTTGTTTGTTTGTTTTTTTTCCCTAATGCATAGCTGTGTCCATCCATACTTGAAAGTATCAAGCAATATGTGGTTTTATGATAGGAACAATATCCAATAACCTAAACATGGCTGTTACCCTTCAATCTCTAACTGCAAGCCATAAGTGGTGAATGTGATCACATTTTTTTGTTCAGTGAACCATGTAACTTCCAGAACTGTCCACCATAATCTACAGAAACAGGCCATCCAAAAAATGATAGCGAATCACTGTTCAAACAGCTTATGCTCAGTTGCAAGAAGTTACGCATTCTTCCTGTAAACCTCATATTTAAGGGGCGATGACTCCTCAAAGATGAACTGCTACAACTAGTTACAACATTTTAATTTTTGAAATCTCCATGAACTTGTTTCTTCTGACTGTTTTAAAACTGCTTTATATAGAATGCCTCTGGTAAATGAACTACTGTGAGAATTTATTCAGTTCTTTATACAGTGGAATTAGCTACCTTGAAAATACCTGAGGTAAAACAGATAAAAGAAAGAATTACATGAAGCAATTAAATCCCCCTCAACTCTGACTTAAATAACAGGCTTAACAAGACTGGTGTCCGCAATGCAAAATTAATGGGAAACTCCAAGAAGAAGAGATAGGAGATACCAGTTTTCATCTTTTTCATCTTTGGTAGACCCAAATCTGCTGAATTTGACATCCTAAAGGTAACAGGCTCATTTTCTTCAACAAGACCAGGATGTGCTCAGTGAGAGCTCTGATCTGCTCTAAGTACTCAAGATATTCTGATGAAGTACGTATATATCCCACTTCAGCCACTGACTGGAAAAATCGAACAAGAATTAATGGAGGAAGAGAGATTTAGTTAACGTCAGGCATTGTCCAGAAAGGCCCATTTCCTTCACTTTATACTAAAGCTTTGCATTGTCCCTGAGGTTGTGGCAGCACTACTTCAAGTTAATTTCTCAAAAGAGATGGTCCAAGAGGTATTTCCTTTCTGCTCAGCACACTCCACTAGTGACTGAAGGAAAAACAGTGCTGACGTGATGGGTTTGATGCTCATAGGGGCCTCAACCCCCCTCTTAGTTATCTGCAGGGTTGAATGAGTGAGGATGGTGAGGCTTTCTTGTCTTTGTGCACAAGTGCATAAGACCTCCCTTCTCAGTATTACCAAGGCTAGCAGATAAGCAAACTTGCCTTTTTACTGCTACCCCACTGACACTGCACACATGTTGACTAACCACAATACCACTGACTTTCTATAGCCGGGGTTTTAGGCTCTTTGCACAGCTGCCAGCAAGTGGATAATGTGCATGACAGCAGCATCTATCTCATTTTTCCAATTTCAGAGGATGAATTCAGCTCCATCTCTCCAATCCCAAAATATTCTTACTCACAGAAGCAAGTCCAGCTGTACAGCTGACGTGTGTAAACTGTAAATATTACACAACAAGGTACAGGATGCTTTTCTGCCATTATATACTTCACCTTTCAGGTCTTCATAACAGAGGTGTAACAACTCAGCCCCTGCTGAAGCACAAAATGAGCACCTCAGCCTCAACACACATAGTGTACCTTATTTAGTTTAGTACAATCTCAATAGAGAATTGCTTTCAAAGTTTATTAAAGTATTACAAAGCTTAAATAAGGTACAGCATTTCCTATCTCTAAAACTGAAAAACAATTATTGATATTGCAGTGGTTAGAAAACACACGAATTTGCATTAATTGCTTTTGGTATTTGGAATTACTTTTTTAAAAAGTCACAGTTTCTCAAGGTTAAAAAAAAATCCCACAACCTAAGAGCAGTTTTCAGAATGACTTTTTTTCAGTGTCATGTGGCTAATACACACCATACTGAATTTTTAAGGTAATGTATTTATTTGGAAGTGTAATTATGTAAATATTATTTTCATCACTATATCTTGGGACCAGAATTAAAATTTCTGGTACAAAGCTCCCTTTAAGGAGCTTCAGAACTACGTGTATATTCACAAATACACAGCCTGGGTACCAGAGCGAACAACTGAGATGCCCAGAGAAGACAGAGAAAGTAGCATAGACTGGGAAGTTGTTGGTGTCCTCCCCCATTTTCAGTCCCCTGACACAAAACTTGTACAATTTTTGATCTGATCTCTTGAATTAGAAGTGGAAAATGTAGTGCAAATTATTTCCTATTTGTAATATTGGATGCTTGAAATGAGATTTCAGGTACATGCATCTTTTTCTTGGAAATAATAAATACAAATCAGGTTTCACTGACCCTAGACTGTAATAGCCCCTTGTGTCAATGTAACTACCAACTTGGTATCATCATATAATTTTGTGAAGTTGGATGATTTTCTTCCATCCTTCATTTTCTCCCCAACAAGGGATCTCACAACACATTATTCTTTCTGCCTCATGTGATCTGAGGCAAGTAACTGTTGATCAAGTTGCTGAGATGGAAGGGATGTTTGGGGGCCACGTGAAGCTCTGTACCTCCCCAGTGGTTTAAGGCAGTCAGTAGTTACCTTTGGCCTTTGTGAGCTCAGCATTTTCCAGCTATTCATCTTCACTTCCCTAAAGAGCTCTATAAAAGTTAACAGCACAATCAATACGCTAGAGATTAGAGCAACTCATGCACATACACAATAACGGACTGGCAGGGTAACGATTTTTCTTTCCTAGGGCAGGGTCTGTAGCAGGAGAAGCCTTCACAGACCTTTGTGTGAATCTAGTCCTTCAAAGACAGGAGAGATCATTGTCATCATTCTCAGCGCAGAAAAGTTAACAACAGTCAGGTCACCAACTATTTGTGATGCTGGGTAAAAATCATTGGGAACAGCATTCTCGTTTCAGTTTCTTCCCTGGGACAGACTTGCTCTTCTCAGCAGTTTCCCCTCGAGGAACATTATTATAAACAACTGTCCTATTTTTATGCAAATTCATGTTTTACAGGAGATAAGACAGTAATGATAAATTCTTCCCATTTCCTAACACTAGATGAGAAAAACTCCACTCCATAAAGAACCAAAATTGTAATATCAGAGTGTCATTCTTAACGGGGGTGAAATATATTCCCTTATTAGCAGGAACAGAACATCATTTGTTCTTGTAACATGATCTGGTTGTCTGGAAAGAAAAATCCTAGTTAATCATTTTATTTTATTATATTTTTTCCAATGACTGAAATTTACACAAATGAAAATAACTAGGGATTCATCATGGGCTGACAATACTTTCAGATTAATAACGGGTGGCGTTGCATCTCCTCTAAATTACTAACTACCTTGACAGACAGCTAATAAACACCGTAGCCCAGCGTAGCAGCCTCCTACACATCACATCGTCCCCCGGGTGTACGACAACACAAGATGTTCATATTAGGAACATTTCTCATTTGCATAAATTAAGCTCCATCTCTGCCTTACCTTGTCTCCTTGTCCTTGGGCATCGCAGGTGACCCATAGCCAAAAGCCTGTTTGTCGACGGGAGACGGCACCACCTCAGCCATGCCTGGGAGGCCGAGGGCGCTCCGCACTTTGGTGTCCACAAACACAGGCGGTCCCGGCTCCTTTTTGAAGGACTGGCGGCTGGGGGAAGACCTGTCAGGCTGGATGGCGTGGGGGGGAACGTGGGCGCTATGGTGAGGATGGATATCGATCATGCGCATGTCAGCCACCCGGTGGGGGGACGCGGGAGGCGTTTTAGAGCTGAGCGTGGGCAAGTGGCTCTCCGGGTACTTTCGTGGCTTTTGTCTGTACAAGGACTGCTCCAGCATTTCAGGCGGCATAGAGGGGTTACAGTAAGTGCTTGATGACCTCATGGCACTGCGATGGTAGGCTACAATGTGATCGGGGACATCGAGGGGGTGTCCGGTGTGGGGTGCGGCCACACTCATCCTCCCCTCGTGAAACAAGTAGGGGTCCCCGTACAGACCTTCATTTCGGATCAGGGCAAGGTTTTTGTTACTCATGTCCTCATCTGGCTTCACGTCCCGCCTCTCCAGAATGGCGCTTGGGCTGGGTGATATGGAGCGCGATGCCGGCACGCTGGAGAGCCGGTCCCGGGGGATGGTGGCGTTGCCTGGCACACCCATGGGCCGTCCCCCTCCATAGGGGATCCTGGATGGAGAGGGAGGCATGGAGTGGGGCACCGGGGTGGAGGGTGGCGAGCTGGGCATCACATGTGAAGGGTGTGTGGCAGATCCGGGGCGGGAAGCGCTCGGGCCGTCTCGGCCCGTATAAGCAATTTCCCTCTGCATCTGGAAACAAAAGGAAAAACGTACAGGATGTAAAATTACTGGATGAAGAAAAGGTGATGTGGGTTGTGGTGACCTCGACTCTACAGGATAAAAAAGAAAACTACCTACAACACCAAATCATTTGTCGTCTGTATAAATAAAACATCTTGTGACCTCAGTGCCTAAAGAAAATAGCACCTCTAGACAGCAATAAAATAGGTTGGATGTTAAAGGAATATGAGAGTCTTAAAAATGAGTTTGCTCATGCAAATACCATATTATCATTATCTGTTATTCCTAAGCCAACATCAGGGATTTTAGTACCATATTTGTAGGAACATGTAGCTGGTACACGCTGTAACAGCTTATTGATCAGACACACACACACAGCAGAGTTCACCAATTCCACAATATGAAGAAAATGCTGGTGCTCTGGCATCACAAATAAACCTGAACTCCTTAGACATGAGAAAATTAATATTAGAACGAATTTTCCATTCACTTCAGAGCAGGATTTGGCCTTTTGCTAATACCTTGATGTGGTCTTTATTATGCAGAGGACACACAAAGCATAGGAGAACAACAGGTACCACCATTTACCATGAGTACGACACCCAAGTTGCATGAAAATGGTCAGCCCATATAAAACTTGTGCCAAAGGCTTCTGTGCCACAACCAAAGATAACCGAGCTGTCAAAGATTTGTAGAGAACATACTCTGAAAATATTTTATTATAGTTTTCTAATCATCATCAGCAACTGCCAGCAGTAAGGAATGAATAAGCAAGGAAATGAAAGGGAAAAGTCCCTTAACATATATATTAACATGTATATTTGTGCTTTGCTAACTAAGGCCATGGCCAAAACCTGCAATGAATACATGTGCTTCGGAAACTGCAACATCGCACTTCCCAGCTCTGACCTCTCCAGGTGACTGAACATTGTCAATGACGGACACAGGAGAAATTCTCCCTCTAGCAAGCATTATGTGCCTGCTCTGGTGCCATTTGGATAAAGTGGAAAAACAGAGAAATGAAGAAGTCAAGTTGGCTTCCATCAAGTACATTAAAAAAAAATACAGCTTCTAGAATTTTTGTTTGCAATTTCAGCTTCCCTCTCCATCATTTCCAAGGGACTATAGAAAACCGAGCGTCACCCAACCCAACTACACATTCCTGAAGTTACACAGTACACACTTGTGTAGTGGAAGCTGTTGATCTGAAATCTTCACCATTTTTTTCCCCTCTCACTTCTAGCTTTGACAATATGGCTGGATTTGCTGCAGTAACAGTGATCCATGCCTGATGAAGCAAGAAGTTATATTCTATTCCTGCCCCACCACAGGTTTTTCCACTGGCAAGGGAATTGCACTAGCGGTATATAAACAATAGCTGTTCTCATCACAGCAGGCTCCGCACTTGGGAATTACAAATGACGTTCCCCAGGGCCAGAGATCAAAAGTCTGCAGTATCAAGTATCAAAAAGAAGAAAGGAGATAACCTGACTGTGGCAGCAGCAATAATAAATAAGTGCAAACAGAACAAAGGAGTGCGCAGGGATGCGTCATAAACGAGCCGACAAAAGTTATCCGGCCAAAGGGGAACATGGGATAATTTGTTTCATTTGCACAGAGAACTACTGAAATGTAAAATAAAATATAACTAAACGATATTAACAAAATTATCAGTGGGCATTCAACACAGTTCTCCATCTGGCTTGAAGAAACGCTGCAGCATACCAAGCTGGATTGTGCATTCAGACTCTGGACCTGAGCCAACAGAACAAAAAGACTCCTACTGAATCTGAGCTGCTTTGGGATCGTGCCTCCAGGGATAGGCAGCACTAGATGTTTTGCAATGAGAGGAGAGCACGGAGGATGAAAGACCTCCTTGGTCCCCACCATACAAGCTATATCACGCCCTGTTTAGTTACTTCAGCTAAACCTACCAACAGATTCAACAGTATCTGGCACACAAAGCACAGGCACTGGGATACACTGGGTTGCAGTGAAAGGAAAATTCTGATGTTACCTTGTAGAGAGGAGAAAATTTCCATGGGAAGCCTTGAAAGCAACAGGTTTTATTTTCCTTAACTTCTGGACTTCAAATTCCTATATACGCACATTCATTCCTCATAAGTCAAAGAAATCTGTCAAAGAAAAATTCCTATTTTCCACCTTAGCATATTCCCATACTCGAAGAGGAAAACAAGGAGTTTAAATACGGGGCCGAGCTATTGTTCAAACGCCTTTTTCTTGAGTACTGACATTTACAGTGCTATCTACTTTTGCTTTGCTTTAAAATAGCACATGGAGCACACAGCCTGAATCAAGACCCCACTGGGCTGGGAGGGCACGAAGTCTGAGTGCACAACCCCTTCCTGGAAGGTTCACTTTCTATTTTAGGCTGTGACTCAGCCCATGGGTGGAGTGTGCAGAAGGGGAGAGCAGCTGGAGCCACAGAGTCCATGGTACCCAGGGCAGGAGGACTAGAGCACAAGGGCCAGACAGGGCCAGGAGCCAGGCAGCCTCACTGGCCACATTACAGCATCTCCTGTCACCTGGTCAATATTTTTTCTCTTTCTACTTTTTTTTTTTTTTTCTTCTCCAAAATCTCCAGATTCTTTGCCAATGGAAACTTCAAAAATTCAAACGATAGTCTCTTCATGTTTCCCTCTATACATCTTCTGTGCGATATTCAAGACACACAACTCTCTCCCACATATACCCCACTTTCTGCACTGCTTTTCTTCTTCCTGCCCTCCACCTCACACCATTGAGCAAAATCCCGGCATTGCTCAATGAAAATGTACTCTCATGCATACGCTGTCTTGAGCCATATGTTCTTGGGCTTCTGTTGCATGACTCAGGGACAGAGAAAGAGGATATTGGGTTTATCTGAGCCCATAACTACTAGGTGAAGTCACAGCCAATTGCTTTCAGGGTAAAAGGAAGATCTTTTAATATAAGCGTAGGATCATGTGCTTTTCAACTGCAGCTATGTAATATATTTGCCTGAGGGCGTGGTTTTGTTTAGCACATAGGTCTTCCTTGTTCTTGCTCCCTGTAGCCTTACACCCTTGAAATAGAAACTTGTTTGTCAATCCTTGGGGTTAAAATATGGCAAATGGCTACTACTACAATTTCTGCATAAAGCACTAGAGGGGATAGGCATCACTGAGAAGCTTTTACTTGATGTAGTAAAAAAAGATCATACCACATATAAGTGTATCCTGAGGAAGGTTTCAGTCTAACAACACTGCCATCTGTAAGATACAGATCTGGGTATTTTTTTGAAGCAGAACAGAGGCACCGGACATATACTGAAGAGTAAACATGTAAAATCAATTATGTTCTTTATTTCAATTCAGTTTGCATACTCAGTAACTTGCTGCATTTTGAACCTGATTATATGCAGAAAGGTAGCAAACCAGCTATCCATCCACCCGAATGGCTCACCTAGAGGCTGAGCAGACCAGTATCTCTGGATACAGCAGAATACAAAGCTTGCTGCAGCTCCTGCCTCCTCAAACAGCTCAGCTACCCTGAAAGAAGGGCAGAGTCACATGAATCACAAGCCTTATGGATAGCAAAGGGCAAGCTGCCATTCAGTGGTTCGACAGCTGGTGTTTTCTGGAGTACAATCCCATCTGTCTTGTCCTCTGTCAGGACTAATACAACACTGTGCTATCTTTATTCTAAATTTCTTATGGCTGTCCTGCCTCATAGGTCACTCTCGCGGTCTGTCCCAAGGTGGTCCTCTCACAATGAAGAAACCATCCTTCTGCCTCTTGGGATGGCTTCAGTGCATCATTTGTACCCATGGTGTGCGCCAGAGCAGCACATAGAGCCGTGCCCACACACACCAGGGCAATGCCAACTAGAGTTATGCCTTACCACTGATTCACTGCTTCCACACCAACACTCCACCTCACCAGGCATGGATACCAGAGGTGTACCCTGACTCATGCCACTATCTGCGAACATCTCAGAGCAAAACACAGGCAAAGGAAAAAGTAGGTGAGGGTTTCTGACCTGGCAGACCTACCCATTGCTCTCCCAGGCCTTGTCTACATCAACAGAGAGCACAGCAACTGGCTTTGCCCCAAGGCTTTCAGCCTGCCAAAATACCTAGATGGAGCATGTTCCTTAGGTGGTGCTCATCTCTGCACTGTCCTGGAGACACCCTGGAGTTCCCAGCAGACACCTCTCAGGCATGCAAAGCTATGGCTTTTCTTACTCTCCTGCTGGCACCCTGTAGTTCCCCGAGGAAACTGCACCTGTGTTCCTAAACTGGATCACCCACCAGTACACTGAGGTCATCTGAAATGAATTTTATCAAGAGCTTGGAGAATCTTTGATGAAAAAGCTGCAGAAGCACTAAATACTGATATAAAACTGATAAATGCAGCTGCAATACTGATAAATTCAAGGTGAAGAGATCTTTTACAGAAACTGATCGCAAGAAGAAAATCCTCTAAAATTGAGGCAATCCTTCACTTTGTTTCTAGGAAAAGAAAGGAAAGGCTTACTTAAAGAACCCAAAACCCAACAACAATACAATCCTCTTGTTTGTTCTTCCATCATAAAAATAAACTGACAGCCTTAGAGCCCTAGTTGTCCAAATCCCTCAGTTTGAACAGTAGTTGCACTGTATGATACCACACCTGTCATGGCTGATCTTTCACTAAGGTTGGGTTTCCACAGCTGAAAGCACAAACCAGCTTTTGCAAAAAACTGTCAGATACAATTTTGATACTTCTAAAATAATATTTACAAGAAGAAATAGTGCACTTGAAAATTATAGAATTGATAAACAGTCTGAAAATGACATTTTTTAAGTACATGTACCACAACTGTCTTTCTAAAGCCAAATCCTTCTCATGCTATCAGGCATCACTTTGTCACACTTGTTTGCTCTTGCCTTTTCTTTGTATGTCTTTTAATTCCTATAAATTTCCCAATAATGTTGAGACATTAAAGAAAAAAAAAACAGGCCGGCTGCAGCTGCGGGTTCCTCCAGC